TATTTGACAGAGACACAGCGAGAGAGGGAACACAAGCAGGGGGAGTGGGAGAGGAAGAAGCAGGCTTCCTGCGGAGCAGAGAGCCCGATGCGGGACTCGATCCCAGGACCCTGGGATCATGACCTGAGCCGAAGGCAGACACTTAACGACTGAGCCACCCAGGCGCCCCTGGTCTGAAATTCTTAATGCTAAAGATTTTGAAGGGCCACGCTGATATGTGTTGAATCAATTAATGTTGTCTTAGTACCCAGGAAAGTATACACAGCAAACAAAAACTAAGCTTGGTGATTTAAGTCTCCTACTTCTCTGTAGACTGGTCCTGAATAAATAACACAGGGAAAGCAAGTTATCTATAAACTAGGTGCATTTGTTTTTCAAATATATCTGGTCTAGGGTCCCCGAATGTGGATAAGTTTATTTCTCCAACGTTGCCTTATTGTGTTCTGTTCAGCTTTACTGGTGCCTAGACGATGCCTGGCTGGGCTGAAGGAAATGACAGTAAAACAGTAATATTTTTTTAATGGGAAACTCATTTGGTTATCACACATTTGCTATTACTCTTCAGAGGGGTAGAATCTGTGCGTTCCGTCAGCTTTCCTAGTTAATATATTTCTCTGCTGTGGAGAGAAGGAAATGGAGCTCCGACTATTCCCCCCTGACTTCCGTTATCAAGACTACAAGTCTTGAGTGTAAGGTCACTGACAGCTGTTATTTATTAAACCTGGCCCTGGATGTGAATCGCCTGGGTTGTCAGGGTAAATTTGAGTCATTTTCTAAACAGTGACAAGCATCCCATAACATGGCCAGCTTTAGGAACTTTCAAGCAGACGAAGCCACTTCACATTAGTCAGTCCTGCTTGTCCATAAGGGACCCTCATGCTGCAAAGAAATACAACTTCACGTGAAGTCTTTTAGCAGGTCTACCTACCTGCTGGGAGCCCCAAACACGGTTTTTCCTGCTCTTGCCCACCGCTGGGGCTGGTTTTACTAATCTCCCTCGCTATCACTTCTGCCGCCACTAGGAGGCGCTGGATGAATGAACGTAAAGGTTCATTGGCCTTCTCACCCCACACCGTGTCCCCCAGTGACCCTGCGCAGAGCTTCTATGGGCAGTAAACTTGGCAAAGCCACTATGTTCCCCACTTGAAGATTCACAATAGACATTAGCTTATTAATGACCCTAAGAAATTTAAAAGTAAAAAGAGAAGGGGGATAAGTTTGGAGGGAAGAGAGAGAAAGAGAAACAAGGGAGAGAGAAAGCTGTTACGTTTATTTCACCCTGCCTTTGGGGGGGAAAAAAAAAGCTTATTTAGCCACCAACCTCTTCTTAGTGTAAAACCTATTAAGTCCTGCTGAATTAGAGTTCTGCAAATGTTCCCACTTGAGAAATACAGGACCAGATGATCACTTGAAATCATCCTAATTCTGACAATGCTATTTACAGATCTTCGAACACACAATTCTGATGAGCCCCTTCCCTCGCCCGGAAATCCTCCACGGCCTCCCCCTGCCTATAGAGTCCAAATTCCTTAGCATGGCCTTCAAGACCTACCAGAATTTCGCCTTATCTTTCCAGTCTTGGTTCCCTGCCTTCCTGTCCATGAGTGTCTGCTGCCTCTTAAGTGGGCCTCCCAGGCTCTCTCTTCTCCTGCCTCTTGCTTTCCCACCTCTGTGCCTCTGCTTGTGCTGCTGGGTCCGGTTGGGACGCCTTTCATAGTCTTTGCACGTACAAATGCCATTCACTTTAAATAAATGAAACAATGACCTGAAACAAATAGATCTCTAGCCTCTCAAAAACAGAGACTAGAGATCTATTTGAATTTTAATAGGGGAAAAACGATTAATCCAAAGGAAAGATCTCTTAACATTAAGGCCTAAGGAATCAGCAAGGGACTAAGAGAAAGATACTTTTTAAATGAGGAAATTGTCCTGAGTTCTCAAAACCATCCACATATATGACTGCTTGGCTACTTTATAAGGTATACCTGATCTTAAATATATATTTTCACAACTCATCTCTGCAGAAAATGCTTACCTTAAAAACCTAACACAAACAAAAAAATCTTAATTCTCTAATGCAGCGGTTACCAAACGTGCTCTCCAGATGCGGCAGCATCACCTGAGACCTCCTTAAAAACATAGATTCTCAGTCACCGTCCCAAGCCCTCTGCTTCAGACACTCTGAGGATGGGGCCGGGAAACTGTGTTTTAACAAGGCCTCTGGCTGATTCTGATGCCCAAGTTTGTGCATAATTATATTCAGAGTAAATATGTTATCACCTGTGTCCATAATCTCAAAGATACAGAAATGTGCATTTCACTTTTCACTCCAGTCTGTTACCATTACTGGACAACCCACTCCAAAATGGAGTGATGGCAAATCTCTTTGGTCTCTGGCCTTTGACTTCCACCGGTTCGCTGCTCAGGCATCCACGTAGTCATTAAAACCTGCCCATCTCTTACAGCGGATCAAGCAGATCCCTGCAAATTCCTGGCCTGCGGCGAATTTGCCGAGTGTGTGAGAAATGAGCGGACCGAGGAAGCAGAGTGTCGATGCCGACCAGGGCACGAGAGCCGGGGGCGTGGGCACCACCGGGACCCGGGCCTCTGTGCCCCCGCAGAGGAATGTGAGGTCATCCAGGGAAAGGGAGCTCCGTGCAGGTAGGTCGAGCACAGTCACTTTATAGATCCAGGAATTTGTTATTCTTGCTTTTGAGAAACCTATCGTTAGAATGAATGCATACGTTCCTCTAAACCCACGGGTTCTCGATCTCCAGTGCACATCAAAATCTCCCAGGGGAGGACTTCTTTTAACACATGGCCGGGCCCTGCTACGCTCTTTTTTGATGCAGCAGGTCTGGGTAGGGCCCAGCTAAGTCTGCTGCTGGCGGCCCAAGGACCACACTTTGAGACCACTGCTCCGGCCTTTCAGCAGTATTTCAGTAAGACCAATAGGGAAGGAAAAAGAGCGTGTCAGCTTCAAGACCAATACCACATGGTCTCCTACCTTAATTGGTGTTGAGGGGGGTGTGTGTGTGTGTAATATTTTTTTCCCTATGTAAATATAGCTTTCATCCTGAGAAATTTGGAAAATACAAGAATTATGAGAAAGAAAAATCATGTGATATTCATATTAACTGTTCTTATCTTGTGATGCACATGTTTGTACAGAATGTTTACAGAGAATGTCCTAAAGCAAAATGGAATCAGACTGGCTTCTTTTATACACCGCTTTTTTACATAGAACATTCCCCCATGTCATTAAATATTTTCTGTACCATCATTTTCAATGATTACATAGTAGTCTAGTCTATAGATATGATATGTTTAATCAATCCTTTATTTCCAACAGAAAGGTTAAGAGAAGCTCGTAAGAAGAGGGAAAAGGAGGCGAGATATAATTGGCCTTCTATTCACGAACCAGACTTCAGGGTGTAGGTGGCGCTATGAATGATCAGGGAACACAGAGGCTCCTAACGCTTCTCCAAGTCCTGTGACACCCGGATCAAGTCCACACGTGCACTCTGCCCGTGGAGGGCTTCTTCCTGAGCCTGACTCGCCTTTCCCAGTCAAGAGTCTCCAATCACACACACCTGAACATCTCCTCAGTGGTGATCACCTGAGACCCATATCTTGAGTAGATCATCCTGTGGTTTGTTTTTACTGTCCTCTTACTCATTCTAGTGGCCACAGTCTCTAATTTTCCACTAGGGAGCTCACGGCCATCTGCTTACTCCATCAAAAAGAAGCTAGAGAGATTTAGCCTTTCTCTTCATGAAATATACCCTGTTCTTTCAAAGTATTCACACTTTAAAGACAACGACTTAACCCAATTATGGTTAAGAAGCAATATTCTGGAGTCAAATTGTGATTAAAATTTTGGTTCGGGGCGCCTGGGTGGCTCAGTCGGTTAAGTGTCTCAGGTCATGATCTCGGGGTCCTGGGATCGAGCCCCACTTCGGGCTCCCTGCTCAGCTGGAAGTCTGCTTCTCCCTCTGCCTGCCGCTCCCCCTGCTTGTGCTCTATCAAATAAATAAATAAATAAATCTTTTAAAAAAATTTTTTGGCTTAGCAATTAACTAATCAAGTGACCTTGGACCAATTAACGTCTCAAAATTTCAATTCCCTCATTGAATAATGAGACTAATAAAACCCACCTATTGGGTTACTGCAAGGAGTAAATGAAATTATGTTTATAAAACACCTTTACAAAGAACATAAAACACAAAAATATCCATTCAAGTGAGTGAGGATTATGATAATGCTGTCAACTTTCTCCAAGTTAATCTCAATTAAAATCCCAACAGGATTTTATATGGAATTTGGCATTCTGGTTCTAAATTTCTCCTGGAAATGAAAATGTACAACAGAAAATCTTGAAGTACAATGATGGAGAGGTTGCTCTGAAGGATAGTAATACATAAAATAATATTTAGAACACTAAGACAGACAATAAATACACAGAACAAATATATATAAGTCCCAAATAGACCCTTATATTTAGACTATTTTAACAAGCATTTCAAATCAGTAGGGCAAGTATGGACTGACTGGTCAATAATGCTTAGAATACAACTGGCCTTCCATTTAGAAAATAAAATTAGCTTTTTACTATAGACAAATCAATTCTATATCAAAGACTGAAACCTAAAATCAAAACTTTGAAAGTATGAGGAGAACTATTTTTAAAACCATTTGTATAATCCCGGGCTAAAAAAGCCTTCCATAATAAGACACCAATTTCATATGACATTAAAAGGAGAATTTCCACAGGGGGAAAATTCACCATAAATAAAATTAACATATTAACAAGGTGGGAGAAAAATATTTATAACCTATCTTATATTGTAAAGGTTGAACATCCATAATCATTGGAGCTCCTATACATCAATAAAAGACAAGCATGCTAATATTAAAATGGGCGAAGAATACACAAGTACAATTCATAGAAGAAATCCAGATGACCAAGAAAACATAGGCAAAGATGCACTCAGTCTCACTATAATTAGGGAAATCCAAAAACAATAAAGAAGTATCATTTGTTACTCATGAGTTCAGTAAAAAATGTTAATACTATCCAGTGTGAGTAACATCAGGGAAAACTAGTCCTATCAAGCATTGCTGGTGGATGTGTAAATTGGAAAAAAACCTTTTTCCAAGAAATATTTGTTGGTATCAATAAAATTTTAAATTTGATTCAAATACTCTACTTTTAGACAACTATTCCTACAAAAATAGTTGCATTTGTGCACTAAGATATGTTTATAAAAACGTTCCCAGCATCATTGCTTTGAATCGTGGAACAACTGTACAGAGCATCTGTGGAGAAATAGTTAAGTCACATGCAGTGTGGTGTCTTAGTCACGACGGAACACAACAGTTAAAAGCAATAATATAGTCTACCGGAGCTGCCATAGAAATAGGACATTTTATTAAATGAGAAAAGTAAGTTGCAGAATAATAGATCCTGTCTGGGTAATAATTTAATAATAAAACTATGTATACTTAGAAGTATATTAGTTTCAACTATATGGGCATTACCATTTTATCAGTAACAAATCATCAAATATTGGCAATTTTGTATGGTTCACTCAAATATGTAAGGAAAAGCATAGCAAATATGTGCAATGACAGACACACTCAGCTACTATCCCGGTTAACTATGGAAAGGAGTGGAATTGCTCAATGTTAAATGTTAAACCCTGATCTCAGCATGAGGACAAACCCCACGGCCCCCATAAGCCGCCTCAGAACCGAAGCACAGGGGTGCTGAGGGTCCCCCCTGGGTCCCTGACCCCACTCCTGTTCCTCCCAGATGCCATCATGTACGTGACTCTGACAGTTTACTTATGTGAGGATCAGGTGACCGTTTAAGACCTTATCAACCATAGCTGAAGACGGTGATTAAGACCGGAGGCTTTAGAGTGAGACCTGAGTTAAAGCTCTATCCCAACTTGTTGTGACCTGAAGCAACTTTGAGCCCCACATTTCTCGTCCATATAATGGGGATGACAGGAGTACATTCATGGGTTTAGGTGAGAAGTAAAGCAGATGCTCTTCAGGGTAAACGGCTCTGCTGCAGGCATTATTGGAGCCATTTGGTAATTATCAACCAAGGGCAGCCCCATAAGGAGAAACCTGAGTCCCTACCTGGCATTTAAACCTAAACTCAGAAGCAAATTAGCCGATGACACTAAAGTATGTTAACACTGAAAGCAGCACTCTCTAAAGCATTGTAAACTCGGCTGCATTTTTTGTTAGTCTACCCGAAAGTGAAGGAAAGAGATAGGAAAATTATTTTGAGGGCAGGTGCCTTACTGAGATGAGTCCATGGATACACAACAAACATTTTCAGTTTGTTTTCTTTGTCATTCTACTGCCATCATTCTATTTTCACCTTTGTTTTTCCTTCTTTTCCTCAATTCAATACTTACGAATATACTCCATTTTTCATTTTCTTAAATTTTAATTGTCCTATATACATACTCAGTTATATTAGGAACTTGGCAAAAATTCTCCCAAGAATAAACAAAATTTTCATTTTCAAAGGTCCCTTTTTTAGCTTGATGAGTTTGACTTTTATTAGTTATAATTATCATTATACATACGCAGAAAATGCAAATCTAGATCTAATAGAGTAAATTATTTATGACTTCCTCCTCAGATCTAAAAACCTTCACTTTGTCCTTTAATTTAATAGGCCTAATGTGTTCTCTGTGATGTTTTTAATGATAATGAAAATTATTTCCAAATATAGGAGCCAGATTAAGGAAATGATGATGCAAAGTGACATCTATGAGGATATTTTAATAAGGAAGTACTTGTCTTAACTACAGTAAGATCCCAGATTTACTCACTTGCTACACCTCAGACAAGGGAGGGATCCATTTTTTATTGCTAGTAGCTGTCCCTAACTCCCTTATGAGCACTTTCTCCACGGATGGGGAAGGGGTGGCAGGGAAGGAACCAAGACAGGGAGGGGTTAGAGTTTAATATAGTCCAATCCGATTTTAAAAACTTCATCTGATTAATAGTTGGAGCAATCAATTTAGGCAACTCAGTTCCCTTGGAGTATATAATCAGGCTCAAAAATGCTTTCCCTTTCCTTCCCTTCTCTAAGGTGGTGCCTAAATGTTTGGGGAGTGTGGGCGGAGGCCTCTTCTTGCCTCACCAGGCCTTTTGGAAAGTTTCTATCCTCTTATTTCCCTCACCTGTGATCTCTTAGTTCTGACCCCAGACACCTACCCATCCCTTAGTACTCTGAGCCTCCAAGTCACCCAGCCAGGGTAAGTAGGAACCAGAAATGCTGCCTTAGCTGGTGATGGAAGGAACAAGGAACTTGTCCTCCAACTACACCTCCCAGATAGGCTCTTCTTCCTAGAGTGATACCCTCTCTCCACCTTTCCCTGAAATTATAATGGACAGAATGTTGGGAGAAAGAAAACCATTTACTGATAAGGGAACATATGTCAGAAAGTATTCCCCAAATATTATATCCATCTTATAATGTAAAGAGGGAAAAGGCAAGATGCAAAATGTGTATACACTATCATCAGAAATTATATAACATGCATATTAAAAAGTCTGGAATTATATACATCAAATTTTAAAGTAACTTTTATTTTTAAACTGTGTGAACAAATGTCATTGCACCGTTGTTTTTCAGCAACCACGGCTCAGAACCTGACTTTAAAAATAACGCAAAAAATAATAACTCCACTTTTTGCAAGATGAAGTTATCACTCATCTTTCCCATGAGCTTTGTTCAACCCTTCTGACACCACTGCCTAAGAAACGGTACGCCAACTGGAAGGCAAAACTCAGGGGCGGATGCAGAGAGCATAGTTCTTCTAGCTCTAGTGGAAAGCATCTGCAAAAATAGGCTATCCGTTTTCATTGTCATATTAATTTTAAAGCTAAGATAGAAAGCTGTAGTTGCTATTAATGTTGATAAGCCCAGGAAATAGGATACCATGTTTTTGCTTTCTTTGTAGATCGCCGGGTGACTCTAAAAATCAAGCATTCAAAACTAGTGTTAAGAAGTTGCAACATCAGCAAAATAACAAGGTAAAATAATACTTTTATATGTTGGTTTTGATTACTGAATTTTAAAGAAAATTTAAAACATTTCTAGGTCTGACTCTTGTTTTAAATAGAGATAAGTGAGAGCACTTTTCCTTTATTTGCCAAGCTTTTTAATTTAGTATTGTAAGGTGGGGGCACTCAATGAATTTCTTGGTGTGAGGAAGACAGAGACAGAAGGCTGGCATTAACTGAAACATATAGATAAAACAATAAAAAACAGAAATGATCCAAGTAGTTTTATTCACTTTTTCTTATAAAAATATACATGCAATTTATCAAATGCATTGCAACAGGTTGCAATTTTCATAAAAATTTATACTCCTGGAACCGAATAATTTTATGCATGTTCTTATAAGATATCTTCAGTGATTTCAAATAATGAGCAAAAGCAAAGATATATAGAGAAACAGAGGAAACATAATTTGTGAACAATGAGTAACTTCAAAAGTTCGTCCTCAGATGAATGTTCCTTTCAGTGTCCTAGATATCCCTTTCAAATTATTCATCCAACTTATTTTACTAAAATAATTGTCTTACAAAGGGAAATAACTTATCTATATCCAGTTTAGATATAGAGATTTTTTTTAAATAACTTTTGAGAAAATACCTTGGACAACTTTTAGTATAAAATAAAAAATTTCAAAAAAATTAGACCATCTTTGATGGTAAAAGTGAGTGATAATCAGCCAGTGCCCACCCTACCTGTAATCTTATAGAGTCGGGTGGAAACAAACACCTCGAAGCTTGCACTTGAAACAAGTTACTACCATCAATAGACAGTCAAGGATACCTCAGTATCCAAGCACACCAAAGGCTAATCATAATTTCCTGTCTCCGGGTGCACACTGGGAAGAACGTGTGCCATTCTGATTTCCTGAAACAAAGCAAATCAGAAAGAAAAAGTTCAGACTTGAACCACAAAATGACAACAAAACACCAGATCCGATATTAATAAAAATGTCTGGGATGCAGCAAACACCAAGTAAATCCTAAAGTCCCAGGTAGAATTAAGGACCACATTTCATCTGAAGCAGCAGAATGGAATAATCATTTGTTTGTCCTCTCTTCTTTAAGAGATTGTTCAGCCTGAGAATCTAAATGGGTCTAAGAAGAGATGGAATACATTCCGACTATGTTATAAAGTTAGGGATATTTTGGAGGGCATCTCCGAACCTTTCAAAGAAGATACCTAAAAAGCAAGCATATTCTTTCAAACACCAGCCGAAGTGACACTGGAATGCAATATGGATTCGACCTCAAGTGGCATTTCTTAAGTTCTTAAAACTATTTCTCTTCCAGATAATCAGGAAAAGAGATCCTGAATTACTGACTGGAGGATATGAAGAATTTAACTATCAAGATTGGGAAGGAAATTAAAAACTAAAAATGTACAGATTATAACTTAATCTGTCTCAAGAGAAATGGGTCTGTTTTCTCAAGAAAAATTGTATCCACTCTGTTAAAATTCTGAAAACATGTGCAGGCATATTCACTGGTCATCAGAATCCAGGCATATAGTGTCAACATTGAGAACCAAAACACACAATGTTTCAAATAGAGAAGCATCATGTACTTGATGATTGGTACATTCTGCAGAAAAAGATGCTTATTATCAAAACCCAAAATTAAAACGTATTTCAGCTACTCCTGACTGATAGTCAAAGCAATAGCAAGACAGGTCTGCTTCCAGCTACCCTTAAAATACTGCTGATAGATCATATATAAGTGCAACTTACTCATTGTTTAGGGGAGGTTGAACAATGTATCATGAAGCAAAGCTCTTCATGTGTTACAATGTTCATAAAAGATGACTGTTACGCAAGGAGATGCAGGTCTCTCTGAATCATGGACGTATCCAGTATGTAAACACTGGTGGGGGTATATTTGTTCCACACTTCAATGTCTGTCACACACACACACACTAAGACCTTCAGTCTTAAGCACACTAATTTTAGAAGAAATTAGTGCTTACACAGTAGATCGTATTGTTGCCAATAATTTCTAAATTGTTCCTTTAAAAGAAAAAGGAAGTGGGTTCACATATACATACCATGAGAAATCTCTTCTTGTGACCGCATAAAGCTATGTTAAAGGGGGAGAAAATGATGTTATGCTTTGTCACATAACCAATGCCTGTTTTCCAGCACAGATGAACTATGTCTGCCTTTAATTTAGTAACTCCATTGAATCCTGCTGGGCACTAACTTCCCTGTGTACACGGGTAGATTGGCATCAAGGTAATCCATTTTAGTCAGTTTTTAATGTGGTACCTCACTATTAATATATTTGCTGCAAAACCTTAATTGCAATAAAATTAAGCACAATATTCATAGATTTATAATAAAATGGATCTGTTTTACCAGCTATTCCCTGGATTTGCTTTATGGATTATGATAAATGATTTTAAGCATGATTTTCATGCTACCAAAAGGTAATAAAATATTCAACATTGACAGCAACATTTTAGCAGTAAAACTTCAAGAATAAAAACAAATGTTTCCTAATAATAGACACAATCTTCCCCACACACACACACCTGGTTACAAATCCTTGAAAATTCACTCCTGTTGGCCTCAGAAATGCATAGCATTCATCCCTACTCCCACCCCAATCCTCCCCTAAAGTGAGGAGCTGTGATATGGGATAAGGACGTCAAACTGCGATACGTTGATCGAGTGCCACAAAGCAAAGAACCGTGGCAGATGTACCCACTCACTTCCATATCCCTGGAACCCAGAGGAAAACATGCTTGTTAGTAGCGGGACAGGCCGACCAAAAGCACATGAAAACAATTCCATCAAGAGAGACAATGAGGGGCGCCTGGGTGGCTCAGTCGGTTAAGCGCCTGCCTTTGTCTCAGGTCATGATCTCAAGCTCCTGGGATCGAGCCCTGGAACAGGCTCCACGCTCAGCAGGGAGTCTGCTTGTCCCTCTCCCCCCGCCCCAACCCCACTCCTACTCTCTCTCAAATAAATAATTTAAAAAATTTAAAAAATAAAAAAGAAATGAAAATCTGACAATGATCACCTCCTCATGACGTGCCCTCCACCCTCCACATTTCAGTTGTGCTCTAACAAGAGCAGGGAATGTTGTTTTTGATGGGGAAGGAGAAATAGGTAAACACTCCATCCTCTGTTAGAAAGGTGCCCCTCTGAAGCAAGGGCCTCTCACTCATTGGATCACCCACATTTTGGATTGGTCTTTTCCAACCAGCTAGAGAAGAGCTGTTGACCCACCTGGATCATGGTAGGTTCCAGATGAGGGGCATGAAGTAGCCTATAGAAACTATGTATATTCAAAGTCTAAGCAAGAAGGCCTCTTCTTTGGATCCCCAGTTTTTACATCCTGTGTCATCTTGTGAACAGACTGGTAAGGGCGCCTGGGGAAAGGTAGCCAAAGTTTGGGTTTTCTCTGATCCAGTCAGTGTGAGTAGTTGCAGGTCACACACGGTCCTGCTTGTTCCCTGGATGGAAAACCCATAAGAGTTTGGGGCCAAAACAAGGGTGTTCCAGTCACCTGAGTTCCCTTGCCTTTTCCCCCAGTCACCCAGCACAGGGTTTCCAGCTCTGGTGACTGGATGAAGCTCTGGACCCCAGACTTCTCCAACTTATTCCATCTGAGACATGGGGCAACAAGTGCAACGTTTACAACTGTTTTATTTATAACACCCTGTAACTGTATTAAAAGCACAAGATGCAAGAGGAAGTTCTACATAGACAGCATTTATTATTTCTATTTCCAGTACATCATTTTAGGAAAGAATCAGATACACATTTTTTTTAAGGAAATGAGGAAAAATTAAGTAGCAGTTGCAGTTAGATGGGTTTTCAAAAGTGAAAAGAAAATGGCCAATTAATAAGCCTATCTGAGGTCTGAGATTGAGATGATACATAGATACAAATCAGTATTCAAGATTCTCTTTTTAATTGCACATTTTTTTCCTGATTATCTTTTTAAAAATTTCTTGAAAAGTATGACGACTAAACTTACTTCATGTATTAGGTGAGTGATGGGGAAGGAAGAATACATTGACTTGAACTGAACTGAATTGTATTCAATGACCTGGTCCTAACATGGGTAGACTCTACTTCCCAAAGTCTCTCCAACTTGATCCCTCTGTGAGGCTTCTGCACAGAACGTCTCCTTCTTGCTGGCCTTCTCCAGCGTGGCAGTGCCATTTCTACATGCTGAGAACTGGTACACCAGGTCTATCCTGATCCAAGTGTTAAAAACCATAGGTTCTGCTCCTATAGTACATACAATTCATTATAAAACTCAGCTAAGGTCTTGGAGTGCTTTGTCACCTAAAAAGTACCAGTGTTTTTCAACCTGGGGATGTAGAGTCTTCAGAGGCAGACCCACTTCTTTCTCTTCCACCACTACTTTTCTCTTTATTTTTACAGTTGATCCCCTCAACTTGTCCTTATTCTCATTTTTAGAGATCTTCTGCCCTCCCCTCCCTTGTTAGTTTACTTTTATTTCTTCTCAGAGAAATAAAAACTCTCAATACTTGTTATTTCTGGTAATGATACATACAGAAAACATGTCACACCTTCTGAAGATGTGGAATGATGAAGGAGCAACTCTTTGTAAATCGACAGGGGGCTACTCAAAATTTCCTTGTTTTGATTCTTTTTGTTCCACATGATTGAAGCAAAAGCATTTATACCTCTTTCATGGTCTAGAACTAAATTATTTGACCCCTCTCAATCTTTTACCTCCTCTGTAAAAGGAGGTAGATCTACCACTAACATTGTATTAATTGACTGACTGATTCATTCAATAAATATTTATTCTACTTATCCAAGTACTCTTAAGGTACTTCACGTAAAGAAACCAAAGATCTTCATATCTGGATCCCCTGAGAACCATAGTAATAACCTGTGAATGAAAATTTAAAGAAAAAAATTTTTAAATCCAATTTAAAAAGCCCTACAATTAATCCTCATCATTATTCTTGCCTGCGAATTTCTATTCTCTAGCTAAGCTTCCACAAATACCACCTATTTTCTACGTTAAGACTGTATTTTCTTACAGAAGTGTTCACTGTGTTACAGGAAAGAATGACCTATTAAAAAGTCATTATAGGAAGCAGAATGTGAGTTACAATAAAATGTCTCTTGTGTGGGTTTGTACTCCTACATGCATTATTGTATTTTTTCCTCACATAATCCTTTGAGACAGTGCCATCTACTCAACTTTACAACTAAGAAAATTCATTCTTCTCTTGACATATGTGTATTAGAGAAATTTTCTTTCTCTCAGTGAATACCCACAGCTCATAATATATATCTCAAATATGTTAGTGGCATTAGGAATTACATTATAAGTAAATTGAATGTGAAAACATTTTTCCTTCTCATTTTTAATATTTTATGTATGTCTACTTTTGCAAAGTACACACTAAGGAAAGAACATATATTGAGTAAGACAAGCATTAAGAGATTAGTTCTTAATATACAGTATGCTGGTTTAAATTTCAAATTTTAAATCTCAATTAAAATGACATTAAAATAGGAATTTACTTTTGATTCCTGCAGTTTTCACATAACATTTATGGGTTTGATTGTGAATACTGTAAAGCAGCTGCATCAACATCTTTCAGAATACCATTTCTGCTATTTCCCTTAAAGACTGATAGGGTCCTAAATTTTTCCAGCAAAGGGGCCTGTGTGTGTATGTGCATCTGTACAGTATGTAGGTTATCGTGAGTCTATCTGAACTAGGGCAATTCTCCTGGTAGCCAAAATTAACTCAGGAGACTACTTTAAATAGATGAGGTCTAGGACAGCTGTGTGACATAATTAGCAACAAAATGGCTTAAAACTATAATTTTATTATCTACTAAAGACTTGCAATGATGCTTTGCTGCGATAAATGTCTTACAAATTCTTCAAAGCATTTAAGTTCTCTCATTACAATAATTTTAACCTGTTTGATGAGTTTTCCACCTAGTGCCTATATGTATCTAGGAGATATATAAAACCTGAAAACAGCACTGAAGAGACAACTCATTAAAAATCAATTTGGTTATTAAATTTTCAAGGACGTTACTTGCTACTAGTTAAGCTTATCATTCACTATTCTATACAAATAAAAACACCAATTAAAGGCGAGTGATGAGAAGAGAGAATAGGTCATTTATTTGCAGTAACCAGACCTTCTGTCACCAATCACAGGGATCAAATGACCCAAGGGTGGGTGAATCTCTGCAGTAATACAGCCTTCAAAAGATAATCATATTCACATTCTCAATAGCACAGACAGGACCATTTAATTTCTTTAACAGGAGACAATCATTTGCACAGTATCATAATAAATAAATATTTCTGTACTAAGACACATATTATGAGAGAAGCAATTCTGAAAACACTGTGGCTCAAAAAGCACTAATCTAATCAGCTGGGAAATATTTTCCTAACTGAGGTACTCTTTCTAGGAAAAAAAAAATCATTGGAAATCCATTTCAAAGGTTAAGGTCTTTAAAAATCAGGGAGAAAAAGTGCAAAGAATAATTTTATTTTTCTAATTTTATTCTAAAATACAAACAAGACTCATTAGGATTATGTCAACATGACTCCTTGATGTAGCTTTGTCTCCAAATTCCTAACATGAAGTCATAAATATTAGGCTTGAAACTGCTGACATTTGATCAAAACTAACACCACACAAAGAAAAAAAATTACCAGTTACATGAAATAAGCAATTACTTACTAAGTATTGGACTTTTGAATCACAATGCTTATAAAACAGCTCTACAATTACCAAAATCTCAAGGCCAAAAAAGACACTAGGAATTTTTTAAAAACAAAGATGTTTTGCAGCAGAACACTAGTTTAAATCATATGAAACAACTTGGACAAGATTCTGATACAAAAATCGCAATTGAGATGAAACTGAAAGAATATCTGCATTCAGTCAAGTCACAGTGTCACCGAAAACCTCTTTCCTTTTCTAAATGAAACAAGTTATCTCAAAACTTTTAAGCATTTAAATGGTCTGAATTTCCTTTATTTGTCCATGGAATAGAAGAAAATATTTTTCTATAGCTATACAATGTGATAGAAAAGAAAAATAAATCTGTGCATGATACTGTACCTTCTTTATCACAGAGTACATCAAATACATTCAGGCTCTTTCTGGAATTCTAGAAGTTCGGGTGAATTGCTTTACTCAAATTAAGACACACCACAAAGGAGGGGGGAAAAATAAAAATGTCCACCTTCAATGCAAATTTCCATGAATTTCTGAAAAAGTAAATTTAAAAGTACACAGCTTTTCAGATCAAAACATCAGTGCCTTGATTATTTTAAGTGCCTTAACTTTTGTAAGAAACTTTAAGCTAAGGTTTCATTATTCCAGCTATATGGTTCTGTGCCATCCTTGCAAAAGCAAGTATTTTGAGTTTTTAAAAAATTTCTTTTCCTAGAGAACAATTATGATGGACTTCAAGGTAGTCTATTGACAAAGAATGAGAAATGTCAGAATCTGTCCAAGTGTTCGCAAGTATTAGAATGAGGAGAAGTTTAAGAGTTACAGCTGGATAGGGAAAATAATGTTTAAGTCCCCAATTCACTACCATCATTGACCTGAAATTAACAAAAAGCCATGATTACTAAAATCTGTTCACTTTGTATAAGTAGTTCTAACATGATCATGGAATGGTTGGATCTCTGGGGCACACACCCTACCTAGAACCACGGCCCGGGTTCCCAGTGCAGGTAAGGCTGCCACATCTACTTTAACAGATTCTGCAGCATGGCCGTTGCATACGTGGGCCTCGCCTGCCTGCTCTCAACTGCACTCTGGAGGTACTGGATGCCTCCACAGCGTTCCCAAATTTCTTCAAACTGTCTTGGCAAAATCTCAGCACCACGCTTTCGAGTCAGGCCTGTCTCTTCCAGATTCAGCTCACACATCTCCATGTCATCCTTACCTGCACAGGGGAGACATCAGAGAATTAGCCATCAATCTCTTCAGAAGCACATATTATAAACTTTATTCCTGAAATAGTTATAGTTATCAATTCTCATAGGTTCAAGAACTTTTAAAACTTTCTTTTCTTCCTTTATGACAGAAATCTGCTTAATAAATTCACCAGAAACAAGTTAAATTTGTCCTTCACCAAGGACCCTTTCAGAAAGTATTAACACTATGTAGTTGATAAGACAAGTTAATCAGCCTTAATAAAAATGCTATATTTCTTTAAACAATTATAAATCAACTGATATAATTAAACACCAATGAAAAGGTTCTTAGGACACAGACAAGCTTCTATGTGCTCTACAAGGACATAATTAATGCAAGCGATTTCACATCACAAATAAATTAATCCTCAATTAACTAGAAATGCGATCCAACTGAACTCCATTCCTCCATCCTGAAATTTAATGAATTATTACATTATATATTAGACTGTTTCACTCAGAGGGTTTATAATCCTGTTTTGCTTTATAAGGTTTTTTTCAAGTGAATCATACACACCAGCCACAAGAAGGATGGGTGGCTTGTCAGGATGGAGTTCCATTTGCCGGGCAATCCACGGTCCATCGAAATGGGCATACCACCAGCCTTTTTTCTTATTCTGCGGGTCTTTGTACTGGTCAGCAGGGCGGATGAAAGGGATGCGGAAGAAGCGTTGCTGTCGGTTCATTTCGATCTCCTGCTGCCTGGCAGGAAGCTGAGACGCTGGGTTCTGCTGAGCTATTACAAAGAACAAGGAAAGTTACACCAGCAGCCCAGGGTATAATGAAAACAGCCTTTAATCCTAAAATGCACCACACATTTTTTTAAAAAGAAGAGGATTCCTAATAGTAACTTTAAAACAAAATGTAAGTATTAATTACTTATAAATGAATAAAACTTAGAGTGTGATTTTAGAATTTTCTTTCCCCAAAGATGTTCCTTAACATTGCAACACACACACACTCCGCAACACCAGCTATAAAACAAACAAGCCCAAGCAGATTCCCACAAATGACTGTATCAGTAACCTAAAACTCACATGGCAGGAGAGCAAATTAGTATTATTTGCTAAGATTTATATTTTATCTCCAAAGAGTTCAAAATCAAAGACCACAGGATAACTTTTATGGGACTATTTATGATAAAACAAATGAACAGTAATTTCACAAATGTGAAGAATGTGAAGAATTATAGATATCTATCAATTTAATCACTATTTCTTCAGAAAAATGGAAGACATAAGTTTGCTCTTTTGCCAACTGATTTTGGGATTTAAAATGTCCAGGAGAGATATTTTACTAGTAATAGACAACTTCATGACAACAACAAAAAACTGTAACCAGTAAAAGCATGAACTTCCCCTCAGAGATACTTGCTTATTCTGAAATCAAATTTCTCCTGGAATAAAATCCACTGAAGTAAGTGCAAAGTGTATAATATTTGGTTCTCTTTGTTACAGAAAAGAAAAACCCTTGCTTTTCTGCTAGTACTGGACATTGCACTCATATCAATTTTTCCCCCTTGCTCAGTTTTCATTACCAAACAGGTTTTTATTTTATCTGCAAATATAAACATTTCTCTGGGGCAGTAACTTTACAGCTTCGGCAGCATAATTTTGGGAAGTCTGTTTAATGTGCTTTTTACTCACAACTTTAAAAGTAGACCAACCATTCACTGCAGCTCAATTAAGTATCTCACTGAAGCTCAAGTATGTCAATGAAAAATTACAGAATATGTGTAAGTCAAGAACAGCCACATGGTTTTTATAAGAATTTCCAAATACTGAAAGGATGAAAATACTCTTATTCTCAACTTTTTTACACCAATAGTAGAAGCTTTATAGCAGCTGAATTTATTTCTGTGCAAACCAGAGAAAGCAAAAAGCAGTTAGCAAAGCGGTATATGCCTACAAAAGCATGGAACAGAGGCCCAGTTTTGTTAGTGACTTTAAAAAGCCGCATCACCTTCAGCATGTTAACACAGAAGAGCTTATTTATTCTTTTGTTCCTGTAGTCCCTCCAAACTACTTACAGCTTAGTGTTTCCATTTCAAGTTTTAAAAATTACCTACTTTGCAGAAAATATACTAACCCCAATTTAAGGAACTTTTTTAAAAGGATAAGAAAAAAAAAACCTTCCCTCCATCCTAAGCAGTAGCTTAGAATACCCAGTTGATAGGGAACTTACTATGATACTGATGGCCACTTGTTAAATTAACCTGCTTTTTTCTTTTAAAGTAACAGTCTCCTGTTAACCTTAATATATTGGGTAAAATTAAGAAACTCAAGGGAAAGTTTTTGATAGCCTTTTTTTTTTTTTTTTTTTACTAATGTGAGAACTGAAATCATATTAAGGACGCCTTAATTTCCACAAATATTCATCTGGAAAAGTACAAAGATACAGATGTTGAAAGTCTGAAACTAATAAATGACTCCTTCACATTCTGTTGTGTCATCTTTAACAAGTTTTAAATACGGCCCTATAAATTACTAGAAGCAGTTAAAAAAAATCAGGTCCAACAAGTTGGCAAACAAATACGGTATTATATCCAAATCATTATTGCTCAACTGACTGCAAAGAAAATTTACTGCATACTAAGATGACTCAAATTATCAAAAAATGTGCATCACAGGGTACTATCTATACAAGTAACAGAATAATCTATTAGGAGGCATCCTATTAAACCTGTGTACATTATCACGCAAAACTCAGATCTCTTTGGACAGGAATGTTTATACTGTAACAGTGTTTGAAACCAGCACCTGAAGTTAGTCTTTATTCTAAAAGATCAGCTGCTTATTGAGTTTTGCTACAATGAGAATTGTGTATATTCACAGCGTAAAGTGCCAGTTATTTTTTAAAAAGGGAAGTAATTTCATAAAACAACGTATTAATTTTGTTCTGCAAATATATTTTGGAGTGATCCAAACGAAAGCATCATCTCAAATTAAATATCTTAGCACAGACAAACCAACATTAATGTACTCCAACTCCACTTAAAAATTGTAGCAAAACAGTGTTTAATAGAAGTTAGTACTTTATAAAGTATTTTTAACCCATCTTCCAGTTAGCTCATAAGTTACCACCCATTGACTTACGTGAATTGTTCAAAAATGGTGCAAAATCTGTGAATAAATATTTTATGTTGAAGAAAAGATAAAAATGGCAAAACTTATGTTAAATGAGCATTCTTGTAATTTATAAAGCCTTCTTAATCAATCGAGGTGGTGACTAACAAGTAAACCTCCTGTCCACAGCCAAATACTCTCAGAATTACCTAGAAGTAGATGCTGCTTTCTGATTTTAAAAAGTTAAAAAGAAAAAAGCTATTTTGATTAAGCTTTAGGAAACTGTTTGATGGACATATAAAGAGAACCTAAATTTAAAAATTACATATCAGGGTGCCCGGGTGGCTCAGTAGGTAAGCGACTGCCTTCGGCTCAGGTCACGATCCCAGCGTCCTGGGATGCAGCCCCGTATCAGGTTCCCTGCTCAGCGGGAAGCCTGCTTCTCCCTCGGCCCCTCCCCCTGCTTGTGTTCCCTCTCTCGCTATGTCTCTCTCTGTCAAATAAATAAAATCTTATAAATAAGTAAAAAATAAAAATAAAAATTTATATTTTATTTGTAATTCTGGGACACAGTAATATTCAAACAAAAATCCAACACGATGACTCAGTAACAGACATTCTAGTACCTTCAAAGCATTATTAGAATTTCTGCAGAAATTAAAAACTTCTAAATTCATCAAAAAAGATGCCTTAGAGAAAAAGTATTGCCATGTTTACATACACTATGTTTTAACTTCTTCAAATTGTCTAAATCTTAAACTCATGCAATTTTTATTTTAGGAACTATGAAATAAAACCACTCTCCAAAGTCAGCCTTAATCAACTAAATATTGTGAGTCCTTACTGAGGAATTTGCCACTGTCCCAAGAATTATTTCTGGGAATCTCTTTCTGTAGTAGATGTGAGGAGAGCGTGCTCACCCAGTATAGCACACAGGAGGAGGGACCGAGGCTCTCCACGCCCAGTTACAAGACTTAACCATGATTTGTCAATGTATTACTCTTAAATAATACCTAGTTATGTTTTTGTTAATCATAAGTTGTCATTTTATTTTCCCAAATTAAGGAATTCTAATCCTTCTAAATAATTATTAAACTAAAGAGTAGTTCCTTTTACAGGTTGATTAGCTGCCCCATTAGGAAACTACCTAAGCACAGAATTTTCTCAACTGACTGTTACGCATCTTGATGCACTTCACCTTTCCTTTAAACTGTACTTCTGTGTCAGAATGTATTTTACATGGGGAAAAAAATAAAGAAAAAAAATAAAAACAATAAGTGCTTTTCAGAGCAGAAGTTACATTTTATCCTGAAATTTGCCCGTAATCAAATTCTTTGAAGGCTACATACGTGTGGCGTGTGTTCACATAAAATTCCTAAATTTCTTCATATATACCTAGATGGCGGACTCTTGGGGAATTTTCTTCATCTACTCTTTTGTTCTTCCAAATAGTATATTATGAATCGAAACAGTGTAAGAACAAAGTAAGCAAGGTAAAGCTGGGTGAGTACAGTACCAAAGTTTGGTTTAAAAACACAAGAAATATTTGTGTGTTCATTAAAAATGTATGTGCCATGTATTACAACATTACTTTTCTTGTTTTAAGAAGTGCAATCATTCAGATGTATAAATTTGGGGGGAAAAAAAACATGATGAAAGCCTTTCAGCTAAAGGCCATAATTGGAACACTACAGTTAAAAAGGTTATAGCTAGAAGGAATAGCCCATTGCCATTTTTACAAAACAAAGGTAACTGGCTAGAAACTTGGTACAGTGAACTGCTAATGGAATCATCTTGTTATCTTTAATTCCCAGGGATAAATTTATAAATTGGAGAAGAGAGCGGTGGTCACAAGAATATCAATGTTTAGAGGGCCTTCCACTTGCCATTTCCTAGTTCTGGGTAATCTCTCATTGCCCTTCCAGAGCATTATACTCTGAATGATGACACCTCCTGAGCAATCGCTAGCAGTAACATCTCTCTTATTAACAGTATTTCCTTTGCTCAATCTATTCTTTACAACAACCTGGAAGTACTAAAATTCTACCATTTTATTGATTTTAATCAAGCATTGTTTTTATTTGCCAGGAAGGTAGTAAGGAGAGCTCATTTTCTATGTCACTTGGGTCATGTATTGCTAACTATACTATCAAGTGCTGGGAATATACTTTTTAAATAAAGACATTAAACATGTTGTCACCTTGATGTTGACCACAATTAAGCTAATATACTGTGCCAGTTTGAAAGTAGCAAATTGAACAAATGAAATTCCAATTATTATTTTAAGACTGAAATTACAACTCATATATCACAGGTATCCTCAATTAGTGTTAAAGCTAGTGCATACTCTACTAGGTTAGGTCTATCCTTCTCTACTTTCCAATTTCAAGTACACAACTTTGTCTTTTGCATACATAACAAAGTAACAAAATTTATTTTTTGAATCTCAGTCAAAAAATCAAACCCTGGTACAGGCAAAACTGGTCTAAACCAAGTTACTATTTCTCACTCTTCTATTTTGACAAGATTGTAAAATAATGTTTGCAGCAAACGTTCTTTTTTATTTCACAGTTTTCTTTACATTTCCACATGTAATCATTCTATATGTGTATATATGTATATGTGGAAAAAATACATATTTACATTACTGCACAACTTCTTCAGTATAGATAAGAATATTCTTATCTCCAAAATTTATCTTAACTAAATTCAAATACTTCTTAATAAATATGACTTTAAAGACATAATAATATAAATAATGCCATGAAAGATAAGCCATTGTGGTTTTATTAGGCTCAATAGATCACAGCTGCATGGTAAGAGAAAATTTGTATTGTACATTTTACCCAAATGTCTTATGTATAGTTACATACATTATATATAAATACTCTGGAACATTTAAAAGTACAGATTTGTTTTTACCATAATCGGTAACAGATTTTGGAGCACGTTGCTCTGTTTCAGTATTTCTCTTCTTATTCTTTGATTTCCACGCATGATACACTTTTAGTCTCCTGTGAAATTCTTCTCTGCAAGCTGCCAGGAGCTCAATATCTATGGATTATACAGAAAGAGCCCCCCCCCGCCAAAAAAGGAATTAGCATCCTAATTTAATTGTCTAACATTACTCTATGACATAATCATATATATTATACATATAATAAATTTTTTGTTTTTAAATAGTACAAAATCAAAAGTAAGCACATTATTGATTAAAATGAGCATTTTATGGTAATATTATCTTTTACATTTACAGAGCATTTTCTTATGCATTATTACTGTATCATTTGTTCCACACAAGAACCCTGGGCTAAAGAGGTCTTTTATAGGTGAACCTGAATCAGAGAGGGTAAATCACTTGTCCAAGGTCAGAGGCCATAAAAATAGAGTAAGAAGTCACTGTGCTCAAATGCAAGCTAGATTTACATGCAACAGATTTTTTATGTTTGTAATTATGTGGATAACCTCAGTGAGGAGGGAGAGAACATAGCAAGTTCTACACAATTATGGCACATTAGTTCCTAGGCATAACATCCCAAACTCAAACACTATGATTTAAACAAGAACACAATTATGTGGAATCATCTGGATATAGCATTTACTGTTCTGTTGGAAGAAAAATAGCTTTAAAAAGAAAGGACTGCATTGCCATTTTTTACTTTGCATACATAGGTCAAGATTCTGATATATTGGTATTTAACTATTATGAATAACATTAGAAGGGTCAGTCATTAACATGGCCCACACCATAATTTCTCCATGCTTTTCCTCTCCCACATAGATAAGAGACAGGCAAAATGAATTTAATAAGTATGCCTTTCCTTTAGGTTTGTGAGTAAACTACATCTTCATTTCAAGGTGAGAATAACAAAGAGAATGGCTTAATTTATATGCCAAAAAAGAAAAAAATTACACCCCAATCTAGGTATTTCTTTATTACCTGTCAGCCACAGAGCCTTCCCATTTCTCATCTTCTCCATACACTTACCACAAGAAGTATTGATGGTATCACGTAGTTCTGCATATTTCCATTTACTGAGATCATATTTCTTGGTACCAGCAGCTGCCTTGGTGGCTTGTACAGCAGGACCTCTGTAATTATTATATATTTTTGCATGTTTAAACTAGAAACATGAATGAAATGTTGACTAAAAGCGCAAGAAAGTGAATCTAAGTTTGAGAAATGGAAATAACTACTAGAAAAACATATAATAATTTTTGTATCTTTGACAGAGGAGATTAAGAATGGTATATACTATAGGATTCCTAGGTAAATTAAAATTTTCCAGTGTACCATTTAATAGCCATATTATGTTTTCAATCAGAACTTCTAAAGTTAAAAAATACATTTATATATATTCCTCAAAATCAAAAAGGAAATCCTCTTGATTTCTCGAAAAATCATTAGAAGCATTAAGGGTTTATGAGCCATAAGGCCACACAATGCAATCACCTATGGATTACTGAAGCTACAGAGAGCCAAGCCCCAGCCAAAGCTACTGGCTCAGAACCTCCCTGGATGTTTGCAGGGTCAACAGGTGAGTAGACAAACTGCAATCCCTTGCCTTCATCATTAACGATGGGCTAAAAGAACAGCCAGATTCTGGAAGCCCCTTTGCATCACTATTAAATAGAACACTTAGGAAAGTTCTGTAAGGAAATAAAACCATGCTCTCATATTCAGTGAGTAATATGACAACTAGTAAATTATGGAAGCAGCCGAAGTATCCATCAATAGATGAATGGATAAAGAAGATATGGTGTATATATGCAATGGAATATTATTCACCCATTAAAAAGAATGAGATCTTGCCATTTAGAATAAGAGGGATGGAGCTAGAGTGTATAATACTAAGTGAAGTCAGTCAAAGAAAGACAAATACCATATGATCTCACTCATACGAGGAATTTAAGAAACAAAACAAATGAGCAAAGGGGAAAAAAAGGACAACCAAGAAACTGACTCTTAACTATAGACAACAAAGTGATGGTTACCAGAGGAGAGATGGGTGGGAGGATGGGTGAAATAGGTGACGGGGATTAAAGAGTACACTTATGATAAAGAAAAATAAAATAAAAATGAGTAGACAAGACTCAGAGCAGTGAAATAAAGATCATGCCCAAGGTCCCACACTGCTAGTAAATGGTGGCACCTGGGATTGAAACCCAGATGGTTCTGACTCTAAAGCCCTGGTCTTAGTCATGACTCTACCTTCCTTTATTTGCTTTATTCATTCTACAGACATTAATGAGCACCCACTTAGGCCAGCCCGTCAACTGTGCTAGGAGCTACTGACACAGAGTTGTGTAAGCTAAAAAATAATACTAATTAATCAATTAATTAAAGGAAGAGATTTTAGGTCATGAGGCAGATAAGAGATTTCAAAGGGCACAAGTATAGTAGGAACACTGAAATGGGGAAAGAAGAAATAAATGAGATAGATATAAATGTAAAATAATTAAAAAATAACATGGGATAAATTCAACTTTTTCATAGCAGTGCTACTGTTTGGGCTTACAACTTGTTTCTATATACATAATTTGAAATAATTATTCAGAAAATATGGAAACAACTTCTTTTCTGTAATAATAAACATTATTTTTCAGCAAAAGATGACTCCTGTCACACAGCAGACACTTAGAATAAGCTGCAAGTAAGATCAATGTAACAAAGGAAGAATTTAATCACATCACATTTCAAGATATAAAAAGAAAGATGGCACAAATATGAAAAGAACTAAATTTTAAAGAACTAAAATAATTGCTTCTCAGGTATCACACAAAGAATTTTACCTTTATCATCTGCTACTTAGAAAATATTTCCTCTTAAAAAGAGGGATGATCAAGGTAAAATACCTGAAAATGAGGTCATATTTTCTCATTATTTCACATTCTGAAAGATAACAGCAATCTTGGCAGTCAAGACATAGACACTTAATGAGAAATGGTATGTGAAAATATGTATACTTCTTCCTGAAATAAAGGAAATTATTCCTCCATGTTAAGCTTGGCAATGAAATAAATAAGGTACTTTGCCTCTTTAAAAGGCCTATTATGCTTTCATTTTAGAGAATAAAAAATAGCACACTTCAATCTATATACTTAACAATGGTTAGACATGATGATTGTCAGTAACATATAAGCCTAGCTGAAGAATAATGGGCGGCCAGTTAGTTCTTCCTGCATTTTTATGGCTCAAATCTGTTTTAGATTTATTGCAGAATCTATCCTTTTCATAAGCTGTGTGACTGGCAATTTTCCATGTAGCTTTTTCCTCTTAATTGCTTTGCTCAGAAAGAGCCAGCTGTGTGTCAGCAAGGTCTCTCTATTACCCTTAGCAATAAATTATGTTTTAACATTTATTCAAATATTCTTTTTTACTCTTCTACATCCCTAAACCGCCATTCAGTAAACTAACAAAAAAATTCTCTTCTTCCTAGCTCCTCTAAGAGTCTTTTCTAGGAGAGCAGCTGAAAATTATTATGGGTTTTTGTTATTTTCTTTTGAAAGACAGTAAATTTACATAATGTACGGTTTTATAGATTGTCAGAATATACATGAAGTGCCAGCATACATAAAGGTATATTTTGATACTTTAAAAAAATAACATTGAATTCAAATTATTATTGCTTAAAATATGGTTTAATATTACTAACTTTTCATTCATATTACATCAAACAAAATACATCTGCTAAAAAACATATTCAGCATCCTAAATACACAAATGAAATGCATTTAAAATGCTTTTCCCCAATCTCTGGAATTATTAAAATAGTAAAATAAAGGTATAATTTACTGACTATTTAGGTTTGTTATAAAGACAATCATGTAAATGATATACTAGGTAGTAGAAAAACTGACTTCTGATTTTTAAATAAAGTATTAATTTTAAGACTTCCAATTAACTCGAACTTCAAAATTGACAGTTAAAATGTTACTGATTCGTATCCACTTGTAAGGGACCAGATCCTGCTAGGCAGTCATATTCTCTGGTGGCTCAATTTTTACATCAGTGGTTTTTAAACCATGTGCTATGGGGAGGAGGCCCTCGGAAGCCACACCCTTTCTCTGCTTCCCCTTCAATTAGAAACTAGGCACAGAGTTTCCCAGCTGGCATGGGGGTGCGGGCGGGAGGGGGAGAGGCAACACCACCTCCACAGAGAGTTTCAAAAACATCTATTTTGTTTGAGAGGAAAGGTTCCTCTACTGAGACTGAGCTGGTGAGGCCAGTGATAAACATGGCAATGCTACCAACAAGGAAGAGTCCCATCCAAAATGCCAATGGTCTCCCCATTGAGCAGCACCAATTTACAACACTTTTTTATCTTTTTCTGTTAACGGTGGTACGAGGGTGAAGTGACATTTCTTGTACAGAAAATTTACATGGAAGGAATAGACTATTCATACAACAGGTTCTGGTCCAAATAATGAAGAGTGATTTAAAAGCATGATTTTGAGGTGACACTTATTTCCCCAAATTCCACTACACTAACCTACTCAGAAATTCTGACATTTCTTTCTCCATTTGTTCCCTATAAGAAAAATGACAATACAGCACAGTCATATATATAAAAGACAACTATGTTAAGTTACCAAAAGATCTAAAACTATAATTAAAAATGTATCTTTTCAATAGGATTGATTTATTAACCATTCACTATCATTTTACTTTGTAAAAGTTAATCATAATATACTTTTCAACATGGTATATAATCATAAAGTACAGCAAATTTTTGTTTAAATACAGCTTGAACTCCATTTAATTCTATTATCACCCTACCTCAAGTTTTTTTGTTTTTTTTTTTTGAGATGATTTATTTGAGAGAGAGAGTGCATGTGCATGCGTGAGTGGGGAGAGGGGCAGAGGGAGAGGCAGAGTATCAAGCACACTCCCCGCTGAGCACGGAGCCCAACTCGGGGCTTGACCTGATCTCAGGAGCCTGAGATCATGACCTGAGCCAAGATCAAGAGTTGGACACTTAACCGACTGGGAGCCGCCCAGGCGCCCCCTTCATTATCACCCTACCTCAAGGTTTCTATCTTAGTATCCAAGAGCATCTGTTTCTACCATCTCTTTCTCCTAAACCTTCCTCCATTTTTTCCCACAGCAGATTTTAAAGGGAATTCACGACCTTTCTAAGCTCTACGTTGTGGTCTGCTGATCATATAGAGATTTCCCTGTATGCCCCAACACTACCCTGGAAGGCAATCTCTACTGATTCAGCATCTCACTTGACCCTGTGTCATTGCTCTAGGAGCTGCATCAAACAGACTAGACAGAAATGGTTCCGGCACCCAGGTGCTTTTTTCCTACCTTCCCAAACTATATGCAAATGATCACAATTTCACCTTAGGTGCACTGGTTGTAGGGCTGATTTAATTCAAGCTCAAATGGTAACTATAAAGCTATTGTTCTAATGGAGGGAAATAGCACCCAGAGATGTTTTCAAAACTTTTGGTGCCCTGTGGCGACAATGCTGTGGGGGGAGTGCACTGCTGGCATCTGAGAAGCGGAGGGGTCAGGGGTGCCACAAGGAACAAGTGCCCTGGGTCCCATATGACATTAACATGTCCACTAGACAGAGGTGAAACACACTTATCCACATACATACAGTTTTACATGTAAACAAACTTTTACATGTAAAGAGCCTTTTCTTTTTGGCATGGTTTTAATATTCACAGAGTTTTTCCAGGAATGCAACTATTGTAGGGAGAGAAGATTGTACTTAAAACTCTGTTTAGAACTTTACAAAGTACTGTTCCCAATTTCATGGCATTCAATTGACCAATATAACATTCTTATATCAATTTGCATTTATAACTGTCACATTTATGGTGATGCTATGTATGAATAAAAATATCTCAGTATTTGATTGTTTTCCTGTAGCTGTGAGCAAGCACTTTCATATTAAAATAAATATATTTTTATTATAAATTACTGCCCTTTCATTTCTCTTTTACATGTAATGTTTGGAGAGAATTATCTATGCAGGTTGCATAACTTATAAAACAATTGTCATTGGTATTAGGTTCTGACAAAGTTGAGAACCATGATTATAAAGGTTACAGTCGGGGTCCTAAAGTGTTAAAATTCAGATTTTATATATATTCCAGAATTTTATATATATAGTATATATATATATATATATAAAGTATATGCAAAAAAAACCCCACAAAAATTTACTTCAATGAGGAAACTATTTCTCCTAAAAAGTAACCACAACCTGTTAAAGAAAAAAAAAAGGTTATAGGACTCTAAACCAAATTTTGAAAAGAGAAATGACATACGGTGTCATTTTGGGTCTTGCTCCATTGATGCTGTGAAAAATAATATATTTTAGTTAATATCATTAAGTAATTCTGAATCATGAAAAATTTGGATTGTGGCAAATTTGTGTTTCAATGACTTAAAATTTTAATGTTTGAAATTTTCCTTAAAAATTACGAGAAAAGCATAAATTAAAGGCATTCAATGAAAATTAAAGAGCAAATTTATTACATCTAGATTAGAAAATTCATACACTATGAAGTATGCTTGTTTTTAACAGAATCTGAATATTATTTCATAATTTTGGGTAATGTGAAATCACTTTGCATCAAGGATCATATGTGTAATTAGTTAAGATCATATTTTAAAAATATATGTAGAAAACAATTCTTACTTAGAAGTTACTGGACGGAAATCCGAGCTGGAAAAGTAACTTGGAAATTGTTTAATACAGCAGAATCCATTTACATATATTTTTTAATGCATCACAGAACCCAAGAATGACATTTTCACGCTATATATTAAGAACAGTATTACTTAAGAGAGTTCTTACAAATTTGTCAGAAATAATTCAGTGCTAACAAAGGTAAAATAAACATTCAAAAACATTTACTTGTAGCCCATGGAGTAAAATTAAATGATCAAACATGGAAAATATGTATAGAACATCATCTGTAATGAAGTGTTAATGCTTGTAGTACAAAGTATAAAATAACCCAGGAGGTTCTGAAGGGTAGGAACTCATGAGGACATGAGGGTCAGGGAAAGCTTTCCTGGAAAGGGCTGCCAAAAAGGACTTAAAGGGGCATTCCACAGAGGAGGGGACCACAACCCAGGAGCTGTCTCACAGGCAAACTAAAACTAACTCTTCTGCCATTCAAGTCATAACTGCTTGAATATCTCCTAATTACTTAGCAGTGGAACCATTACATAGTTAATTCTGCTTAACTTAAATCACAGGTAACTTGTCATTTATGTTAAAGGTACTGAATGATCCACTCTTTCTCTGAGAGACCACTCACCCTTGGAAGATGGGAAGGAGTCCACATGAGTCAGTATCTTATACATATTATATGGAATGGCACTGGGTATAGTTTAATATTTCCAACGTTTAAATGTAAAGCGTGGTTGACCATGAATAACAATACTGACTCCAATAATGAGTCCCTTAGAAATGAACTTCATGAAGCCCCCTTGGGTCAACTGCAATGCTTCCTCACGCACATTAGGGAGAGCAGCTGTAAGAGCTTGGTTTATTTAGGAGACTGGCCCAGCTACTACTCAGTTACACACAAAGGCGCCCAGCCATTCCAACATAACCCAGGTGGAAGGAACGGAAGAGCAGCTGAGCTGAGTCTGCAGTTACAAGAGCCACAGCCCAGAGAAAATATTTTTTTAATTACAGTGAAATGTTAACAAAGAGCTCAAATATTGGACTCAAACCCAAGAGCTTAATAATTATTATAATACTTTGTGTTTGATAGGCCTATTCAGTTTATTTAAATATAATATACTTTCATATACAGTTCAGATCCTAGAGCTCCCCAATGTAATCACTTCCTAGAAAAAGCATGAAGACAACTTAATAAACCCTTTCCATCCCTTTGTTTTAGCGAAATAAAATCTAATCACTGCCTTGCCATGTCAACCAAGTTTTTTCCTTTCATGAGGAAATAGCAACACCTAGTGGTTACACTTTAATTATATTTTGTTATAAATAATGCTCTGACATTCTGAAAAACATGGTTACATAAATCTATGTGCCTCTCAAAATATATACACAACATATATGCCTATATACAAAGGAACCCCACAAACTAGTTTCGCTGTTTTTACTAATAATCAAAACAATGCATGTTTCTACATTCTAAATTTTAAAAAATGCATCTGTTATATTAAGACCTTCCTGCAACTTTTATCAAGAACATCCATACTTCTCCACACTCCAATAACATTCAATATTTAGAGATAATCTGGAAACCTGGGGAGCTAAAACATTTCAATATGATAAACCTTCCTTCTTGGGAAGGGAAATCTATTGTGAAACATGATGTGCATGTGTGTGAAATTTTTCCTCATCCATGTTAGGGTGTATGATATATTTTTAAAAATTGCTTTAGGAAAATAATAAATCCCAACCTCAAATATATTAAACTGGATTATAATATACTCACTGATTTCTGTGCCAGTATTTAATGGCAGGTATTTACAAATTAGATGTCCACTTTTTATATAATACTTGACAATTTCGGAGTAAAAGTGGAGATGTTCATGAAATGAAATATCAGTTATATTTTTCAATAGTTCCACAATTTGATGAAATCATCTGTTTCATTTGCTTGGGTATAAAGGTGGATACAAATAATTTTTAAATGATTTTACTTAAAATAGATCTAGGATCTAAGGAATATGATTTTCTCCCAGGCCCTTCGCACAGAAATGAGAAGCAGGGAGGGAAAGCGCACAGAGGTGCCACGCCCCACCCAGGGTCCCAGTACCTCCGGAGGGCCAGGTCGGCCTGGGCCTCGTCGCTGATGAGCTCAGCTTCGCTCCGGGCTATCCGCAGGGCCAGCTCGCGGTCCCGGCGCTCCTGCTCCAGAACCGCCTGCTGCTGGCACTCCTCCTCCCGCTGTCGGGCCAGCTGCTCCTCCACTTCAGCCTGCCAGCGACACAAAGCTCTCTCCACTTGTTTACGTGATCCACACCACCTAAGGCTGCTCTGTTCCACCCACGTTCTTTACTAAGGATACAGATTGTTTAACCAGAAATCTCTCCAGTCTCCATTCTCTTCTAGATTTTGATTAATGCTTCCTCTCTTTCTCAAATCCAAGAGAAGGCAGAGGAACCATTCTATCACCAGGAGTACCCCAAATACCGTATGAGAACCCCAGGTATCACACTCACACCAACAGCTAGACAGCAGATGTCAGGGATTTAAAGGATGGTTGCGCTCAGGATGAATTATGAAAGCCAAGACAAACAGAAACTCAAATACATGATCAATTATTCTCAGACATGGACTTTTAAAAAAAATGGGGGCAGGGAGAATATCTTAATCCTAACTTACTGATGCTAGTATCTACAAAGTTATAAAATTACAATTATGTTTTAAGTGAATATTCATTTGACTTTCCCCTAAGTATAATAACAATAACAACAAACTAATATTTATTGAACTGGGCACTCAGGTTCTAAGTGCTTTAAACATATGTCAACTCATTTAATGCTCACAACTATCATTTATCCCCATTCCACAGAGAAAAAAACTGTAGCCCACAGTCACTCACTGTGACTTGTGTAATGTCACAATTTCTATCACTGATAGAGCCTGGATCTGAATCCGCTTCCCTAGTTCCAAAGTCCCTCCCATAAACACTTCAGAAAATGCCTTTTGTCTCTGGGGTAAATCAAAGACAGCTTATGTAGCAAATCAAAATTTTTGTCAACTTCTTTTGTTCTATAATTTTGTAGATTCTGTTTTGAAAGAAATTTAGTCTAATAATTATATACCTGAATACGTTTTTCATCATCTTCCCTTTTCTTTCTCTCTTCTTCTTCTTGCTTTCTCTTTGCTTCCATCTCAAGTTTCCTAACAAAAAATAGAAAACTCCTCAAAAATTTAATAGAAAGTAAGAACAACTTCAGAAGGCAATTTAACTATTAATAAACAGAGGTTACAGAATGGGGACTTAAATCAACCTCCTGGCTATATACATTATCAGTTTACTTTGAAAAAAACAAAATCTAACTCTACTGACAGTAATTCTTCTGTAATAAATAAAAACAAATACAATGATATTCTATAACCTTTAAATCTGTTAGATTAACTTGGTTATAAGGCCCACCTGCAAGGTCCTGATACATGTGTCTCCCTCTCCTTCTTCTCCAGTTAAACAACCCTTACACTCCTGTTTGCCCTATGGTGGCAACCTTCCAAAAAGTTATCAGTCTCAAAAATGCAGAAAAGAAGAAGTGCCTTTTTTCTTGCTTATAAAATAGTAACAAGTCACAGCTTTAAAAAGAAGTTAAGAAATCCTCAGGTGTTAAGAGTATAACCAAAATTCAGATTATAGTTAAAATCATTATGTTATTATAAAATGAACTTTTCTCTATTTTTAAACTAATTCTAAAATTCTTGTTTTAAAATAAGAATATCACTTTTAAAAATAAGAAAATTCATCAACACCAAGAATTCACTATTCTGTTAAGTTTCTAATTCAAAACAATATAAATCCTTACATCCGCCTTTCCTCCTCTTCCTTTCTTCGACGTTGTTCATCTTCTTCACGCCTTTTTCTTTCTTTTTCCATTTCTTCTTGGATACGCCTCAGCCTTTCTGCTTCCTCTTCCTGCTGTTTTTTTCTCTGTAATGCACTGAGAAGTTCCTCTGAGCTTTTAACTAGTGCATCATATTCTCTCTGTATTTGTTCCCTCGTCATCATAGTGGACTTAAAAACAAAATAATAAACATGTACTTAAAAATTATCTTCTGTTGTACAATGCGAATATACTGAACGCTACTGAATTATATATTTAAAAATGGTTAATATGGTAAATTTAATGTCATACTTTTATCACAATAAAAAAATACATATATACAGAAAAGACTGGAAAAGTTGGTAAGCAATAAGGCCATTATCTTTGTTATACTATTTATACATTAAATAATGTTCAAAAAAATTTTTAAGTTATCTCTGCAAATATTTCAATCTATTTCCAAGTAATCAAATATCTAAGGTGTACTGTAGATGAAGTAACATACTATAGTTGAAAATAATGCTTTAAGGAAGGATTTGCTAATTTTGCTTTTGTTTACAATTCTTTAATAATAATGTTCAAGTAGTACCTAAAGAATATTTAAGAAATTACTAAAGACACCAAAATTATTGGATGGTATTCCTAAGTGAGCCTTCAAAAAATGTGGCTGGGTTGATGTTCATCGATAATACCACACACACAATGGCTACTGACAGATTTGTGAAATCAGTTAAGTTTATCTCCAAAGCATTTTCATTCTTCTCTTGAACTTCTTTTTCCATTCTCCCTCCAAGATTTACCACTGTCTACATAAAATATCTGCAGATAATATGATAAAAAGAGAGTTGTAGAGCCCATACAACTGCACTGACTTATGGATGAGAAAAACATTAAGACCCTAAAATATAGCAGAAAAAGGTTTGAATAAACATGTACTATAATTAACAAGCAAGCATACCAAAGACAGTTTCAGTCCCACTGGTATTTAAATAAATGAAAATCAAGACAAAAAAAAGAGGCCCATTATTTTTTCCCTAAAAAACTTGAGGGAAAATTAATTGCTAAGTTCAAAACAGCTAAGTAGTTCATGATATAACCAATATAAAGATAATGTAGTAACAGGAACAAGACATAACATAACAATAGGGGCACAAAATTAAATTGTGAGGAGAACCATACAAACGTGCATCTAAAAAAAGACTGGACAGTGACTATGCAACAGTATGATAGCTGAATGTGTTATTGTTGAGGCTTAAAGGGTTTTGGTGGTTTTCTCCAAATTTTCCATAATATTACATTACTTTTATAATTTGAAAATTAGTTTCTGAAGGTAAAAAAGATGAAACAAATTAAAATAACTTGCATTACTCCTGTCTCAGTAATGAGTATAAAAGCTTACTAACAGAGTATAGTATTTTAGTTACTATTTTGGGTGGGAAGGAGGACTTTCCTAACAGATGAAACTGCATAAAAATTATCTTTTTATAGTTTTTTGCTATAAAAATTTTCAAACACAGAGTACAGAGAACAATATAATGAGAATCACTCGCCATCACGGAGACTCAAAACATGCAACATTTGTATTTTTTTAAAAAAGACATTTTTTCTATAAAATTCAATACCAATAACAAAATATATTAAAAAAAAAAAATCAGCCATTTGGATTAAAATTACATACCTTAATTTTGGCCATTAAAGCATCAATAGAAATTTCAAGGTCCTTGACCTGTTTATTCACCTCTGGTTTTCCATCTTTCAACGCACTTACTACTTCATTAAATTTATCAAGTCGTTTTTTCAGTGTGCCCACCTTAACCAGGCCATCGATGCTGTAAAGATAATACTTCATCAGAGTTTAAATTCACCTTTTAATGCTATGCATACATTTTTCATCTTAATAAAATGCTAAACATATTGCTAAATGGAGTATTTCACTTCTGTTTTCATAATATCCAGGATTCCCTTTTTTAGATCTCTTGTTGAAGGTAAAAAAGAAATAATCAAGTATGGATGTGAATGACCTTGATGCCTATCAGTAACATTTTAGCCTTCTATATTTACACTGAAAAACTTGAGAATTTTAATTATAGAAAAACTTAAAAGAGTTATCTAATCTCTTTAAAAAGGTTTAAGGATTACCAGTTATTCAGGACTCTAAGTTTAAAAGGTCTAAATTAATAAGACTCAAAAATAAAGACTAAATTTACAGTGAGACAATATAATTCCAAAGATAATCTTGCAAATTATGGTGAAAACATTAATGAGTTTTTTTAAAAACAACACCAATTTGACATTTATCAAGAAACTCAAGATACTAAAATGATCAGAATAAAAGAGCTTCTTTTAGCCATTTCAACCTTTTATAGTGTTTACATTTTTGTAAGCTACTTCAAATCCTTTTGTAGCATGAGGCAAGTAATAAAATAATGAATTAGTTAATTAATTTCAAGTACATAATATAAAATCACAGATAATATGCCTTTTTACAAAGAACATGAGAAAGGAGAAAACTCTAAGAGCATCCAAACTGCTCTTCATTATGACTTTATAGCCATTTTATATTAGGGTAAGTAGGTTTAGTAGGATTCTTTAGGCACTATTCATCTTACCGAGGTTTGTGTCTCCTTTTGCAAAGCCACATTCGAATAGTTTTTTGCATTTTAATGCAGGCTTCAGCTCGGTATTTTATTTTGTTTTTCACTATGTGTAAGAGGAAAATACAATGATAGACAATTATTCAGTTTAAATCAGGCATATCATATTCTTAAAAAGCACTCATTTCCACAAAGCCATTTTCAAGAAACATGAAATTGTGATGAACATCTTATACCCAATAAGAAATCAGGAAGTTTAACATTTCCTTAATTCCTTACATTTCTTAAAAAAAAAAAAAAAAGTACATCATGTGTGTGGCTAGATTTACATTTTAAATGTTATTTCCTTATTATGTAACACTATTGCTTCCCAAACTGTCCTAGGAAATACTGGTCTATTAAATGTTACCAGGTCTGTCTTGGAAAAAAAAAAAAAAAAGGATTTACTTGTCAAATGAATTTAGGAAAAGCTATACACTATACCTCCTTTAGGAGATTCACAATGAACATACGTAGCGAAGCCTCTGAGAGCCCTACCAGTAAAGGAATCTATTTAACTTCAGTTACCCAGAACATACTACACTAATCTTACCTTGAAACATTTTTTTCAGAACTTCCCTAAACATCCTACAAAGATCCTGTCTGGTTATTAATTTCACCACTGCACAACACAATCCACAAATGGTGTAGCACAGATAATTTAAATATAGTGTGTTTTCTATCATAATGCAATGTATAAAGCTGAAAGCACTGAACTATAGTGACAAATGTGTTTATATTTTACTTGGAAAACTATGGGAAAAAGAGCTTTTGTTATTTTTCTTTCTTATAGCTTTCTTTTTATCTATATCCACAATTGTCTAACAAAAGACCTCAATAATAATCTCTGCATGGTCCCTTTTGGTTAAGTCAAAGGGATTTTATTTTTCTATTAATAAGGTATATCTTACTTAATCCTTTTTGAGTGCCTAGCACTGGCAAGTGGGGAGGTGGGAGGGACAATTATAAATTTAATCAAGTTACTGACAGTAATCCTATACAATTAAATATTTGCCACAGACCCTCAGGTAACCCAAAAGCATTCTGTCTCTAATCCTTGTTTTGGGCAGAGATAAACAGTGGCTATGACCTAGCAGAGACACACAAAGAAGTAGCTCAGTCCAGTGTGTCAGAGAGAACAGGGTCTAAAAGAGCATGGCAGGAGAAGAGGCTAGAAAGGGAAGCTGAAACCCCATTTCATGGGGTCTTGAAAGACATTCTAAGACTTCGCCCTATATTAAAGGAAAGCCTTAATAAAAGGCTTTTAGTCTAGAAAGAAATTCTGGGAAGAGAATTCCCAGGAAGCTGAGAAAACCCAGTTTGGGAGCTACTGAAGTTATTATGTGAGTGGGGAAGTCGGGTACCACTAAGACCCTGGCAATAAAGAGGAAAGAATGTACAGTATTTGGAGGAGGAATCAACAGGATTTGTTCACTGACACGATTTCAGGGACAAGAAAGGAGAGACAATTACAATCTTGAAATTTCTGGTGTGTGAACTGGTGATGCCATGCAGGCGGAAAGAGAAAAGTTCTGGCTTCAGTCTGAGAGACTGGGAGATGATGTGGAGGGAGGGAGAGGAATCAAGACCATGAGTTCTGTTTCTGTTTTGTTTAGGACATGATGAAATTAATTCTCCCGTAACATACCTGGATAGGAAGATAAGTAACAGACACAAAAAATATTTTCTAAATATTTACCATGCACACTACATGGAGGTGTTACATGGAACCAGGAACACAGCCCGAAGAAGCAAAGTAGTCCCTGCGGCCCAGCACTCACCACTGTGACAACTACATAAAATTCCACAAACCAATTCATTTCCAAAATAATTACAGATCTTGATGTGAAAGAAAACACCTACATTTGATGACTGAGAGTGAGCACCACTGAACTTTCTTCCAGCGACTGCAGATAAGCCAGTGATTGACTCTTTTAACCAATTCTGCTAAATGATCAGGGTCAGACTTCATAATCTGATCAAATTCTGCAAACTAGGAAATGAAATAATTTAGCATCAATATCAAAAGATAAATGTGTTTAAACACACAGAGATACAAAATAACTAGAAGTCAAGTCCAAAATCTAACTTCCTGGAAATGATCACAAACCAATTACAGACACAAGTCTCAGCAAATTCAAACATATCTGGCTATATTTTGCTGCTTTTCTCTTCCTTCCTTCAGCACCCTTTTTTGGAGGGGTAAGAGGGCGTTACTCATTACTAGTTAGCAGATTCAATAACAAAGGTAGAAAAAATCTTAAATGCAATTACAGATGGTTGGCAAAAAAGTTTTACTGAGAAAAGAATGATAAAAGGGCTAATATGTTTCTGAATTGGTTCATCCACATACTTAGATAGCTGTATACAGTTTCCGACAAGTGAAGGTCAGCTATATAATAAAATCAGGTACCTCTAAAACTACTGACTCTCCCAACCTCTATCCCTATTTTGGTCAGGTATAAGAAATTGCTACTAAGAGACAGACAATACAAATAAAACAGCTATTAGGCTACTAAAAAATAAAATGCATTATTTCCACAACTTACCACCAAATTATATAATGATTTCTATCGTTTATCAAATATCTCACTACAATATATTGAGGATGTCCACACCTATCAATACAAAGCTTCTTATAATTAAAATTAAAAGTAACATAACAAGATTAAAGATCTTTGAAAACCTGCCTTAGGCTTTCAACATATTCTTCTGCTTAATTTTTCTCAGGGCAAATAAGACCAAGTGTTTTCTCAGGTTATTAATTCTAAGATTATTACTATAGCCCTGAAATAAGAGAAATGTTGAATTTATGATAAATATGTATGATTACAGCTAAGTCACCTATGAATATATACTTGCTTTTTTTTCTTTTATACAAGAAATGGTATGGGTCCTCTGCAGTAAAAATATTCAAAGGGAAGTATTACATAGATTTTTATCTCATGCCCAAAAATATGAAATCAGATTTATTATCATTAATCTAGCCTTCAACGCAGTAGAGATATTTATTAATGATATTGCTAAGTCAAACAAGTATAGTTGGCTATTATATAATATTATATAATTACAGTTGTGTTTAAAATTATGAGGATGCTATTATTCAATCAATATTAACAAAGTTAGGAATGGTGAAAATATTACAAACAGATTGTGAATAGCATTTAGGTGTTTTTGTTTTGTACATATTTGTTATGAAATACTCTATAAGTCAGTCTTATAATTTAGTACAGAAATCTATAAATACAAAAACTATGGGTTAGCCTAATTATGTTACATACAAAAGTATTTATACATTCATTCATTCTGGGGTTTGACAGAAGTGGACACAAACTTCAGTCCAATTTCCTATACCTTATACATCTATCATATGCCAATAAAACTTGTTCTTACAACGAAGACTCAAAAGTACTGTGAAATTTTTAATTCTTGAACACTGAATTAATATGTTTTAGAAAAGCTTTCCGTAAGTATTTTCTGGTAGAGGCGTCTGGCTGGCTCAGTCGGTAGAGCATGTGACTCTTGATCTCAGGATTTTAAGTTCAAGCCCCACACTGGGCATGGGGCCTACTTAAAAAAATTAATTAATTAAATACAATAAATTAAAAAAAATAAATTAGTAAGTATTTTCTGGTTAATCCTTATTTAAGCAAAAAATCCAATTAAGCAAAGCTCTGATTCCAGTACTTCCAAATGTGAAATAAAAGTTGTAAAACTTGTACAAAATATTACACATTGTAAAGATTTTTTTTTTTAATTTATTTATTTATTTGAGAGAAAGAGAGAGAGACAGAGAAACAGCATGAGAGGGGAGAGGGTCAGAGGGAGAAGCAGGCTCCCCGCTGAGCCGGAAGCCCGATGTGGGACTCAATCCCAGGACTCCAGGATCACGACCTGAGCCGAAGGCAGTTGCTTAACCAACTGAGCCACCCAGGCGCCCAAAAAATATTACACACTGTAAACACACAAGTAGGGAAACTGTGTATGTGACACACACACGCATACTGTTAGTGATCATATAATTCACGAATCACACAAGTCACTAAACACTTAAAAATACGCATTGACTCCAACTAACCATATTCATCATGTTAAAGTTTAAAATAAAATTATTTACCTTGCCAGGTCTAAAAAATACTTTCGTTAACCCAAACTTGTAGTCAACTTCATTTAAGCCCAAAGCTTTAAAAAGAGCCTGAAAAATGAAAGTTCAAAAGTTAAATGCCAAATAGTAGTTAGTAAGAAAGATAGTTCATAGCTAAGAAATTTCAACTTAGGCAGTATTTGTACCTTACAAAACAGTCTTGGGTCTAATCTTGCAAGTTTATCTGGCATATACTTTTTATACATGTTGTAGAGTTCATGAAAGGAAGCTCGTGATGGGAAACCACCCTGCATTAAGTCCAAAACAGACACCATACCTAGATTCGTAAACAAACACAAATTATTGCCAATCTCTGTACAGAAGTCCAAAAATAACTTGTGAATGATCTAACAATTTTACAAATTAATGTTTAGAAAGGGGCAATTTACAGGAATCACCAACAATGAAATATTACAGAGGGAATATCATATTCATATTCAGTATGTACCAACTTACCCACTACCTAAAACTATTGTAGCAAATTTCATCAAAAATCAGTTGACTATTTTCTAGGGACAAATTACTGGTCCCTAGAAAGCTCAAATCTGGTTTGTTTCTTTTTTCTGCTAGAAACCTCTGTCACAATCAATAGCATATGAGGTAGAGGCCTGCATTAAGCCACTTTCCCAGTCCTGAGGTTAATTCTAGAACAAGATTCCTGATAGAGTCTCCAAGAAGTAGTCACACACATTCCCAAATTCTCACCTATGCTTACACAAAGCAAAAGAAAAAGAAAGGAGAGCTCACTATTTCATTGTAAAGATCCACTTCCACTCACCTCTCAAAGAAACTAGCCTATTTGGGAGAAAGAGTCTATAGAATGAATATCTTTAGTATAACTCTAGTAGATGGTTAATTTGAGCCTTGAGTCAGTATGAACTTTTCATGTCAGGAAAAGTATGAAGTAGTCAGGGGAAGGCTCAACAACTATAGATAATGCCAGTACTTTTATTTATAAAAAAAGACCTGGGTTTCACTCTCTGGGACTTTCAAATCAATAGGACAAATGGCCAGCCATTTAGAGAACAAACATAACACTGGATCCCTGTTTCATTCCTTATACCAAAATAAATTCCTGGTGGTCAAAAATTTAAATTAGCAAAATGAAACTATAAAATGTGTTTTTAAATGAGTGGATGTTTATTTTGCAATAATCTCATAGGAAAGATATATTTTCTAGGCAGTCAGATTGAATTTTAACCTATCAGAATTTTAACCTATTGAATTTTAACCTTCCTGGCAAAGGTATAAAAGACCAATAGCACTCAGGGTTGATGACAGTGAAAGAAAACACACACATATACTACTGGTGGGGAAAGTAAACCACTGCAACAATTTTGGATGGCAATTTGGAAATATTTATCCCCTTGACTCAGTACTTTCTACTTCTTTGAACCTATCCTACAATTTGTCATACATGTGGACAAAGATATGCATAGAGAATGCACATGTGTCCACTGGGTCACTGTAATGGGAAAAAAAAACAGAAATAACTTAAATATCAATTAAATTAAGTTATAATCATATGGTAGAATACGATGTATTCATTAAAAAGAATAGGGGAGAGATTTAACCAGTATACGAAATATATCCAAAACAGAATTAAGTAGTCACCCCTGAGAAATGAGACTTTTTACTTATATTATTCTGTACTATTTGATTTTTGTTAGAGTCAACTAAATAACTCTTGTAATTTTTAATACTAATTAATGAAGCACATAAAGGCAATCATTCCTATGGAAAGAAATATCTAAAACTAAATCTAATTAGTTCTGGGCTCCGCTTGGAGAAATTAAAGGTTTGACTGGTATCGTTATAATTCTTGTCCATTTATATCAAATAAACAAGTCCCCTTGGGAATGTACACATCTGCCACCTCTGAGTCTCTTGGCTTGCCCTATAGCTGAAGACAACATATGAACTGGCTCACAAAAGTTCATTAAGAATATCATGAAGCTTAACAAATTGCCAAGCCTGGGGCTGCTTTCTCAGCACTTGAAGCTAATTTACGCTAAAGACCTTTCAACACTTAAAAAATAAAAATAAAAATCACCAAACCAAGTACTCTTCCTTCTAGAAATTTCCATGCCCTGGCTCCTTCTCCGGGAGTCTGGTGAGGGGCTTGTTGGTGCAGCCTGGCTGGTTACACTCAGAACCCTCTTTGTTGCCACAGACAGGCAGCATAACCCCAAGGTTACAGAGGAAGAACATCTGCCTTCTCTTACCTTCCCCTACTTTGCCCTGGTGTTGGCTGATCAGAAGATAGTAATTTTAGTAAAAGATGTTCTAAATGAATTAATTGTCCTTAATTTGGAAAAAAATAATGAAAATGGAAAGGCAATGTAGAATTCAAATCTTAAATGCCTTTATTTTAGAAAGCTTCATAAATATTTTTATTTCTATCAGTTTTTGGTATTTTTTTATTTTTCTCATTACCTGGCCACATGACTAGAACTAATTCTATATCATTTTACTATTTTTTTTTTAAGATTTTATTTATTTATTCGACAGAGAGAGAGACAGCAAGAGAGGGAACACAGCAGGGGGAGTGGGAGAGGGAGAAGCAGGCTTCCTGCTGATCAGGGAGCCTGATGCGGGCTCTATCCCAGGACCCTGGGATCATGACCTGAGCCAAAGGCAGATGCTTAACCGACTGAGCCACTCAGGTGCCCCCATTTTACTATTATCATTACTTAAAAAAAATCAAACTACTATGAATTGGTGTCATCTATTAAATTGCCAACACATCTTAATATACTGAAATAAACCGCTTAACTGAAAGAGAAATCCTAGCTAAAGCATCTGTAACCCCACACTCTACCCCATTTAATAGTATATTAAATTGTAAATACGCTTGACTTGCCAGGACACTAGATGCTCACTTACAAAATAAATGATTTAATATATAGGCTAAACAAACCCTGAAGAGAAATTTAAATGAGAAAAAAATCAAACTCAAAGTTAAAACTACCTGAAGAAAATATTACAAAAATACATCCATACTGGGGCACCTGGGTGGCGTAGTTCGTTAAGCATCCAACTCCTGGTTTCAGCTCAGGTTGTGATCTCAGGGTTCTGACATCCAGCCCCATGTCAGGCTCTGCACTCAGCACAGAGTCTGCTTGAGATTCTCTTTTCCTCTCATCTCTGCCCCTCCTGCTCATGCTCTCTCTCTCAAATAAATTTATTTAAAAAAAAAATCCAGGGGCACCTGGGTGGCTCAGTCGTTAAGCATCTGCCTTCGGCTCGGGTCATGGTCCCAGGGTCCTAGGATGGAGCCCCGCGTCGGGCTCCCTGCTCAGCGGGAAGCCTGCTTCTCCCTCTCCCCCTCCCCCTGCTTGTGTTCCCTCTCTTGCTGTGTCTCTCTCTGTCAAATAAATAAAATCTTAAAAAAAAAAAAAATTATTCACAAAAATAAGTCTTCATAGGTGCTAGACTGTGCATTTCACTCAACAAATATTTACTGAGTCTAGTATAAGCTCTGCACTGCTAGGAGGCATATATAAATGTGTAAGCCAAAACGGACACCGTTTCTGCCCTCAAGGGATTTATAGAGTAGAGAAAAAAATAATTATACAAATACATATAAAATTTATGACTACAATGAAAGTGTTCAGCTCCATTCAGACCTTCTTCCTGTTAGGAATATCAAGAAAGGCTTTCACAAGCAAAGGACAATCAAGCGTAGATATGCAAGATAAAAACAAAGGAGAGGCAAGAGCTTTTCAAACAGAGGAAGCAGCATGTGCACACGCCCTGTGGCAGGAGGGAATATGGAAGATTCAAGGAACCAAACAAAGGCCAGCATGGCTGAAGCAGAGATCAGAGAGAGTGGAAAAAGATGGAGCTAGGAACAAATAGGCTAGACCTTATGGGGCCTCAGAAGCTACTAGGATTTTGCTCTTTCCCCTAATAATACTCAGAAGCCATTACAGCATTCTAAGCAGTAAAAAGACATGATCAGACTTGAGTTATAAAGCAGTAATTTTGGATATATATTAAGAAGAGACGGAGAAGATGTAAGGAGAATACTTAGAAAGCTACAGCAAAAAGCCAGGTGAAAGATGGTGATAGCTTATATTAGGGAGTACTAAGACTACACTGTTTGCTAACAGAGAAGATCTTAAATACTCTCACCACAAAAAAGAACTGGTAATTATGTGATCTGATGAGACAGTTCACTAATGCCATGGGGGTAATCATTTTACAATACATAAGTGTATCAAGTCAACATGAACTTATATAATGTTATAGGTTAATTACATTTATAAATCTGGGGGGGACTCACTGTTTAGGTCACATGAGAGGGACCTGGGGAGACTTAGATAGAGAATATGTAACTATGCTGTCCAATACGGCACCCACTAGCCACGTGGTCTGTAGTTGCACTAGCCACATGTGACTATTTAAATTTTAAAAAACTAAAATTAAAATTTAAAAATCAGTCTCTAAGTCATGCCAGCCACATTTCAAGTGCTCAACAGCCACAAACACAACACAGATACAGAATATTTCCATCAACATGGAAAGTTATATCAGACAGCACTGATTAAGAGTGAGAAAGAAACTAGGCCTAACCCAAAGCCTGAAAAACTCTGACAAATAATACCCAGGTAGAAGAAGATGACCCTGCAGAGGAGTCAGGAATTACCAGAGAATTAAAAAGAAAAGCAGGGAGATGAGCTGATTCAGGAGCCAAGAAAGGATACGTGAGGGGGGACTGGTCGAGTCAAATGTTGCTGTGACATCCACTAAGATAAGGGCTGCAAAATGAACATCTGATTTAGAATCAGGGAAATCATGGGTGACCTTACCAAGAATTATTTTGTTGGACTGATCAAGGTGGAAGCTGAATTCTCTTGGGTTAAAGAGTGAGTGGAAGGCAGGAAACTGAGAAAGCAAGAATAGACTATTCTTGGCTGAAAGGGAAAAACTAGAGAACACAAAGTGAGGTGAGGTATAAGGAAGAAGCTGGAAGGGAATGTGGGTCAGGGGAATTAAGATAAGGTCTCCACATGTTTAAATGGTAATGAGAGACCACCTCAAAGGGAATGGTTCAATACACATAATCGATATTGAAGATTCCTGAGAAGGTAGGAGGGATGATTCCAAAGAACTATAATCTCAACTAAGAAGAGAGGCACTTCGACCCTCTTCATAGGAGGGAAGATAATGCAGGTAGACGGCAGTGTTTGGGAGCACATGGGTGAAGCTTTCCATCTTCCAGTAAAGAAGTGAGGCTGTCTGTTGGCAGAGACTCAGGGATTTGAGCAGAGCTGGGTGGGTGTGCCTAAAGTTTATATAGTTGTAATTTAAGAAAAAAAGTATAAAATTACAAAAGCAGGTGTAGGGCTTTCAAAGGAGCCAATCTAAATGAAGGACCCTGAAACTTAAGTGACCCTAGCTTTATAATAAATCTGACCTTGAGAGGAACAATATAAGGAGTGAGAAAGACAAGGCAGTTTAAGGAAGTATCACAAGCCTGAGATGAATCAAAAGGCAAGGAGAGGACTGAAGCCTTGGGAGAAAGTAGGGGTAGCATGGTAAGGACGGCAGATGGACATGCATGCAGTACAGGAAAACAGTGTCTGGTGCCTAAGACTTCAGTGACTGAGCAAAGTTAGAATGTGGCAGGTGAGAGATGGAGGGCAGTAGTTTAACCAAATGCACAGAAGTTCTGCAGCAGCCAAGGGCATTGTGTTTTCAATTTTTTATAAGTGGTGGAGTGAGAGCAAGGACACCAAAACCTACCTCCTGCCCCAACTACGTGGGGCATAAGAAATGAACTGCTGCCAGACTGAGAAGGCCGTCGGAAAGCAACCTACTTAAGGGAGATCTAGGTTTGCAGTTAAAGAGTTTTTATAAATTTTACTTCAATGCTGTAAAATAATTGTTTTATTTCACAATAAACTATACCCCAATATTGCTCAAATAATTTGTTAACCATGCTTTTCTTAAATCAAAAGTAAAAATCATTGCACTTAAAAACAAGATAACTGAGTTTGAAAACACTGTACATATTAAAGTGTATTTGAGCAAAGACTCCCAACACACATGTATATAAATTATAAAAATATGAAAATACCTGAACACTGAAGTTGAGACAAAATTTGGGCACCTTCAAAGTGGTGGCTTGTCATCTTTAAATTAGGTTTGATACAACGAATAAAGCTTGCACCCTAGGAAAATAAAGGTACTTTTTAAAGATAATACACAGAGAATTCTTGCTTTTCTATTTCTATGAATACCAGTAACTTCCAGACATGTTATCATTAATATTTGAACCTTTTTTAAAATAATCACTAAAGAATTTAAAACTCAATTAGATACTTTTAAAATTTCAAACTTGGAATAAATTTCTGCATTATGTACTAATATTAGAAAAATACTGGGTGCCTGGGTGGCACAGTCGGTTGGGCATCCGACAACTCTTGGTTTCGGCTCAGTTCGTGATCTTGGGGTCGTGGGATTGAGCCCCGCGTCAGGCTCCACGCTTAGCATGGAGTCTGCTTGGGATTCTCTCTCCCTTCCCCTCTGCCCCTCCCGCTCATGCTCTCTCTCTCTAAAATAAATATAACTTTAAAAAAAAAGAAAAATACTACATTTTAGATTTGAGTGCCAAAAACTGTATTATTGTAAAAAGAAAAGTCTTTCATCATAAAATATTTTAACATATTTAAACAATACATTTTGCAGGCTGATATATAGGTGATTTTATTCTACATTTAAGTGTATTTATGTGCCATACTTCTGTGATAAGAAAACTGTCCTATACAAGAGAAATAAATAAAATTATGCCTCTTCAAATTTACGCCAAAGTGGGGGAAAAAAACTCCACCTTTTTCATCATTCTACTTCAAAAATATAGAGTAAGTCCTGAAGCTGCATCACTGCACATTTTAAAGTTCTATTTGTTGAACAGTATGTTTAAAAGCTTTTAAAGGCATTCATTTGGAATCAGTTATCAGATTATGTTGAATGAGACAGAAAGACTATGGATAGGTACACAATGAAACTGTTGGGTATTAAAGCGAATACACTCAACATCCAAATTACTGTTTCTTTTCAAAGTAGTCCCCTTAGAAAACTGAACAGTTATTTCAACAATGATGCTCATTGCAAACACTTTCAGAACACTTTTTAGAAATACCTTCTTCTTATAAATCACAAAAGTACTCTCCTCATTTTATAGTAGCACTATATTTGGGAGACAAAACTAAAACACCCTCCTCATCAGATTTGGTTTTTAAAGATGTTTGGTTCTTAAAAGATAAATAGTTGCAGACAATGAGGATATGTGCAAGAATCTCTTAATGGTCCCAAAAGCCAGTCTAACAATAAGTTAAGCAATAACAGCAGCAACAGAATAAATACTGGCTTTCCAAAATATAATTTTCTTAAATTAAAGACTGATTTTTTAGTATGAGGGAATTCAGTTTAAAATTAATTTCTAGTGGCGCCTGGGTGGCTCAGTTGGTTGAGCCTCTGCCTTTGACTCAGGTCATGATCCTGGAGTCCTGGGATCAAGTCCCACGTCAGGCTCCCTGCTCAACTGGGGAATCTGCTTCTCTGCCCCTCCCCTGGCTCATGCTCTCTCTCCTTCTCGCTCACTCTCTCTCAAATAAAAATAAATAAAATCTTAAAAAAATTTAATTTCTAATTATTCCAGGTTTACTGTGCTTATTTGAGTAATTACTAATAATTTAAGAGGACCATTTAAAAACCCTGGATTCTTCCTAAGTGTACTCACAGTACTTCGAAGTTTATCCAGAAGCAGATTTAATTGTGTCTGTAGAAGAAAGCAAATCACTTTATTATTTCAAAAAGCAAAAGTACACAATGTTATTAAGTTAATATTAGCTCTCCAACATTAGCAAAAAATAACATCAACATACAACACGGTACAATTTAACAACTGATACATAAATTATTTGACAGTAACATGCAAAATATGTGGCTAATATAATGCTAAGGACAATAACTTATATGACTTATACAGAACTTATATAATTAAAAGATTAAATATTAGCAATGCTAAAATATAATACATGCACACTTGCAGATGGGATGGATGAGCAAAAAGTGTACAGGCAACAAAGGAAGTAAATGAAAATACTGCGGATGCATTCCATAAGAGATTAACAGAGCAGTACTTGAATATGTAGCAAGCTGGGTGCAGTTTCTGTCACATTCCACTGAAGAATGAAGACATACTTAAAATACACATTAATGGTATGTATTGGAAATGTTTTATATAACACTTATCATAAATTAAATTGTCCTGCCTAGCTGCAGAAAACCTCTTTGTTATTTTAAAATATTTCATATTCCAATTATTTTTAAAAGCTTGAACAATCTTCTCAAAAACAACTTGACAATAAACTGACTACAGGTTACTATATTTTCCTGTTTATAACAATATTAAGTGATAATAATTTACTCTGGTTTAATAATACATTAAAATCATGTTTTGCTTTATTTCTCTGCAAAGTAAATTATGTAAAATTCTTATATCAATTTTATACTAAGATGCTTATTATACTACTCACGAAAAGATAAATTAAGATGTTGATTCTTTAATTAACATACTGGATCAAGCATAGCTATATTTAATAATAATACCAGGTAGATTGTACTGAATGCTTTCGATGAGTCAGGCACTGCTTTGAAGCTTTTCACAAGCATTATCATGTTTAATCTGCACAATTCTAATTAAGGATGTATTATTAGCCTCATTTTTCAGGTAAAAGCATTAAGGTCCAGGGAGATAAATTACTTGACTAAGATCACGGAACTAGTAATGGTAAAGCCAAAATTCCAACACAGGCCTAATAAAGTTCATTCTCTTACCCACGATACTACAGTATACTTCAGGTATCAGAGGGTTAAGTTATAAAAATGGAGTGAATTTCCCACTGGATTAAAAAAATACAGTCATACCCCACTTATCTGGTTGACTGAGTTCTGACAACTTTTATCAATCTGGATCACCAAATAACTGAAAAGCAAGTACAAGAGCCACTAATTTAAAAAGAAAACTGTCACAACATCCATGCCTCTTAATCCATAAACTAAGCAAAGCGTTCTCCAAAAAAATGGAGATAAGAGTAGACGCAGCAAAAATAAACTTGAGAGAAGAGGGAAGAATGTCAATTACCAAGGAAGCAGTCAATGACCATAAGGTATAAAGATAAAGTTTTATGAAACTCACGCTTTATTTGTATTTTATTTTTATTTTAAAGCACACATTTATGTACATAATAGAGTAAGATTTCCATCAAAAAGGATTATTTTTCTAAAACACTAACAGTAAAAGGGTTATGTTTCAAAAACCTGAAAATGTTACTTTTCAGTAGAGAACTTCTGGTTCTCAGAAATGATGGATAACTGAAGTCTTACTGTAAATGTTAGCCTCTTTTGTTTTATTGCTTTACATAACTTGAATTTAACAAGCTATTCTACTATATTTTAAATTAAGAATTATTAATACTAAGACAAATACCATGTGGTTTCATTCATATGTGGAATATAAAACAGGGCAGAGGACTGTAGGGGAAGGGAGGGAAAACTGAATGGAAGTATCAGAGAGGGAGAAAAACCATGAGAGACTTTTAACTATAGGAAACAAACTGAGGGTTGCTAGAGGGGAGGTGGGTAGGGGGATGGGGTAACTGGGTGATGGGCATTAAGGAGGACACGTGATGTAATGAAAACTGGGTGTTATACACAACTGATGGATTACTGAACACTACATTTGAAACTAATGATGTACTATATGTTGGCTAATTGAATTTAAATTAAAAAATAGAATTATTAATACTTCATTTCAAAGTACCTCATAAACACATTTTTGAAATTTTATTATTAATAATATCACTCAATTATAGGTTTTAGCAGTTTAATATGCAAAATATATCCTATTGCTCATAAGCAATATTTAGGCATTTCAAGTCTCAACATAATACTTTAATTTAAAGAATTTTAAGAATGTTTTTGTTTTTATTTATATTGTCTAAAATTTCAAGTATGTTCTTACCAGCAATACTACTATAATACTACAGTATGAAAACAGTAATAGCCATTTCATTTAGGCTAATATACTATTTTAAACTAATCTGCTATCATATGTCTACTGAGGAATTTCAGAGTATCAAAATAAGATGAAAAAATATTGCTCAAGAGATTTAGGAACTCATAATTAATGAATATATAACTTATAACAAAGTTAAAGACTTTTTATTCAATTACCTGAAAAGTATTATACGCTTTCTCTTATATTTATATTTACTTTTTAAAAAATCTAGCTTTATAAACATGATTTTATCAAGTTCGTTATTTAGAGCCCATTTCAATCTACAAGGGATTTCAGGAGGCTTACACTGTTATTATTATAGTACTCTCATGCTTAAACAGTTTCTAATTACATCATTTTTTAATATTTAAAATACACATAATGAAAGGCAAATGCAGAATTTTCTTGTAAATACAAGAACAGTATTTTGTGGAAATGTATAAAAGAGAAATTAATTTTATGTCTGTTCTATTTATTATAATTTTTATTCATTAAACTTATGATACAAAAGTTTTTAAATTATCTTTTTCTATGCTAAATACTCATCAATTTGAACCAATTAGTAGTGTTCCATTTCTAAGACACATCATGTGACAATTCCTTGTCAGACTTCAAAGAATAAATTTCTGATCCAAAATTAATAAAACAAGCAACATGTTCTTCAATGTTAAATAAGCAGTTTGAAGGGTTTGTCACACAAAGCACTTATCTTTTACAAAGTTATTAAAAGCTTTAATCAAATTTTAGTGTAATACGTACACCCATAAAGCACAGTGAAAGAAAACACATTGAAAATAAATTAAAAACTGAATCATTAACTTGAGACGGGCTCTTTTTAACATGGCAGCCATTCTATCAATAAGAGTCCACGAAGGTGATCATTTACCTGAAGCCCCTGGCTGTCTCTGCTTTTCCTCTCAACTCAACTAGTCCTCTCTAGCCATCCCGAGCTGGACTACTCCAGCTAAAACAAAACTGTTGAATGAGGAAGGAAACAGAAAACACATGGGAAAGAGAAGGTTTGAAGGTCACCAAACAATAGGCAGAAGCCAGAACATTAGGAGAAGCAGGTATGAATCAGATATGTTAAGCAACAAGAAAGAGCAGATTCATAAAAATGTAAGAATTTCTGTATGTTCAATCACTACACCTATTTTATGTTATTTTGTATGCAAATATCAACAATGCAGGGTCTGCTCTTGCATTTCACTCATGGGATTTTTGACAGTGATCTACATTATCCTCTGTAAAGTATAAAACAATATATTTTACTTTAAATGCAGTAAAAACAAATATCCAAATAATAAATTTAACACAAATACCTTAAATTTGTTTCCCACACTGATGAAGCTAAGTTTTCCTGCTTTTTGTTTAGTATCTCTGTTGTTATTTGTGGATGATTCAAATAATTCTCGTATAAATTTATCCCTGGATTCACATATTAAGGATTCAAGAGACATATGTAAAGCATCATTATTTTTTTCCACAAATTGGGTCTGAAAAATAAAGGAACAGGAATGATTCAGTCCATCCTATGGTAATATCCCTTGATATGGCTGTGTTCAATAGAATTTTCCAAGATGACAGAACTGTTCTATATCTGCAGTGTCCAACACAGTCACCACCAAGGTAGACACGGAGCACATGAAGTGTAGCCAGTGGACTGAGGAACTAAATTTTAAACTTTATTAAATTTAAATTGAAGTAACCAGACGTGGTTAGAGGTTAACATTCCATACAGTGCAGCTTCAACTGGTTTTCTCTTGGTAAAAGTCATACTCACTGTTTCATAGCACACTGCCCCTGCGAAATGCCTGATAATGAAGCCTTCATCATCTCTGATGTTCCTATGAATTGCCAACTTGGATTTTCTGGGTATCTGAAAAGAGTACATACATCAGTTATTAAAGTATCAAAAACATTACATAATTTCCTTTAGAAAACATCTGGGATGTGAAATACTTAAAATTATAAAGGAAATTTTCACACTTTACACAATTATACTGCCTTTGAAATATCTAATAAGGTTTGAACTACCAATGAAATCTAGCAAGTATGTGGTTATAATATCTTAGAAAAGAAAAAAGGACTAAGGCAAAAACAAACAAACAACACTGTAAGTATGCAAAGCAGCAGGCACTTTATAAAGTTAACTATCTATGTCTAAAGTAGTGGTTCTTGACCTTGATTGGCAAATTACCTGGAGAACTTTTAAACCTCCTAAACCCCATACCATTTATATCAGGTGATTCCTAGGTACAGCCAAGGTTAAGAAGCATTGTTCTAAAACACATCTGAAATCAGTACAGGACCTTTCCCACTTTTATAGCTATAACATCCTAACATGTTTATACAATGAGCCTGAATCTATTTGAAGGACACTGAATCATTTTAGGTTTATACTATAAATTATAGTATCTCATATTTAAAAGTTTCCAAAATGCCTTCACATAAAAGTATACATCTGACCCTCAAAATAACCTAAGGATAAGAAAGACAATCTCATTTAAAAATGAAAAAGCTAAGACTTTGAGAGTCTTACCAGGCTTTTTCTAGGTGAGAGAGCTAGGAGACCACAGAGCCTCTTCTCTGTGAGGTGATACACCAGCATGAGTCAGAGTGAGGGCCCTGGAGTCAAAACACCCGGCCTGATTCCCAAATCCACCACTTCCTTACTATGCTACACATGACCAGTCACTTAACCTCTCTATGTATGTCTCCTCATCTCTAGCATGGGGATACAAACAGGATCCACCTCAGAGATTATGAGGATTAAATAAAATAATTTAAGTAAAACCCTTAGATCAGTGACTAGCACATACTAAGTGTTCAACAGATGATGATTTTTTTTATTTCCAAATACAAAAAAAGTAATGTTCATAAAAATTAGAATTTACTATCTTGCTCTTGTTCTCTTTTGAGATAAGCAGCCAAAGTCCATTCTTGATGTTTTAGCTTGCTGTCCCTGTAGTTATACATACTATATAACTCGGGGTTGTCTGAGACCCTGGTCACAATTCTGTTGACCAGCATTCAGTACTCTTGTTAAAGGTAACCATGTATCAGGCTGGTCATAACAAAGACCAGTGAACAGTGAATAAATAGGACTGGATATACATCTTCAATCACAGCAAAAGTTTTGTTGAAGATACATATTGTTTTATTTCTATCTCCACTGAAGAGAAACAGGTTCCCTATTATAAGAAATATTTAAGGATACAGAAGAACTCCAAGTCAGTGGGACAGGCGGTTGTTAAGATTCAGTCCCTAGAGAAGGTTATCAGAATTACATTGGCTTTTCAAGTAAATGCATTCAACCTATTTACCTAATATGTTCTTGATTTAGTTAATGATGTATGGAAACAAGAATACCTGTCTTCATTGACTTCAGCTCCTGAATCCATCAAAGCCCTGTCTGTTATACTAGATTACAATCTCAAAACAATAAACAGAATGGGAGGCATTTGTCACTATAAGCAGCTTCTCTTTCCTTCTTTTCCTGCCTTTCTTTCTTTGTTGTCCTCTGTAAGATAAGGCAGCACCTATCTTCCTGGATAAAATAACATCCATATTTCTCTGTGCTAATCAGTTCTTGCTGGGCACAAGGATGGAGCTTGTCCTTGTATTACCTAAAGTAATGATGGCTGAGTTGTAAAGATAAAGAGAATTAGGTGAACAAGGTGAACCTCGACAGCCACAGAGGCCAGCCTCATGCAGAAGAGCCCTACTATTCACTGCTGCAAAGATTCAAGCACAGCTCTATGACCCAACAGCAGTTCAGGGAACTAGGTCTTCTGGCCCTTTCAGAAATGCACTTCTTGGGGCGCCTGGTTGGCTCAGTCGGTTGAGCGGCTGACTCTTGGTTTAGGCTCGGGTCATGATCTCAGGGTCATGAGCTTAAGCCCCATGTCAGCCTCCGTGCTCAGCACAGAGTCTGCTTGAGATTCTCTCTCCCCCTCTCTCTGACCCTCCCCCTGCGCTCACTCTCTCTAAAATAAATAAAATCTTTAAAAAAGGGAAGAAAAAAACAAGTGAATTTCTCATTTATTTCTACAGCTCTGTGTCTGTTTTTCCCTTCAGCTAATTCTTCTACTGCTTCAGTTTCTATGCCCCTCTCTGAGTATATTTTCCATTCAAAACTCCCTAGGAATTTATCCCTGGGCTGCAAGGTTGGTTCAACATCCGCAAATCAATCAATGTGATACAATACATTAACAAAAGAAAGAACAAGAATCATATGATCC